AGTGGAGTAAATGGAGGATGTGGCTTTTTCGGCTGGATGTCCGTGTTGATGTTGATGCAAGGGCCGGGCAGGGCAGGGCAGGGCCGGGAAGGGCAGGGAAGGGCAGGGAAGGGCAGGGCAGGGCCGGGCAGGGCAGGACAGGGCCAGGGCCAGGGCAGGGCCAGGGAACAAAAGAAGCCAGGGCATGGGGGCACAGACAGAGCAGCAGCACAACACGACGCAGGGCGACCCAGCAATTCGTCTGGTGGTGCGACGGATATCTGGGTGTGTCGCAGAGAGAGAAGGGGGAGAGGGTCGATAGCGACAGCGACAGTGACAACAACAGCGACAACAACAGACCGCAATGCTGACGATGGCGACAACAACAACAACAACAACAGCAACAACAACAACAACTACCATAACCACCCAAACCATGATATCAACCACAACCGTACTTACGTTATTAACACCCACAATAACAGTAGTAGGCTCGGTAAAAGACCATATTCGGCTTCGGAGTCTTTGTTTGTTTACTCACCCAATATGTACGTAGTATGTATACCCGAGGTCAGACCCAAGTCAAGGCGCAACGGCCGAGTAGGGTTTACAAGTGACACCATTGCTCCGGTACTGCGGGCGCTTTCTCCTACGATTACACGGCGTCGGTCCTGCGTTCAGGCTTCTTTCACTGTACTTCCACTACTGTATTACGTATTACTGCTGTGACTGCTGTTATTGCTACCGGTATTGCAGTCCGTCGTCCGCGCTGCGCGATCAAGGACGGCGGGACAGCGTGCGCAGCCCCAGCCAGGGTGGTAATCTCCCCTTTCCAGAGGAAATAGGCCTGGGCCGGACCTCAGCGGGCACGGGAAACACGAGCAGTCCGTTGGCATCTATCAGCATCCGCATCAGCATCAGCATCAATCACATCTAGTTAGCTGTGCAGGTCTCCCGCGAAATCGATAAGCTTGGTACGCCCGATTCGTGATGGAAGCGGCTGCCAATGCCTATCTATCTATCGATATCGGTATCGGTCCCGGTATCGATACCGAACAGCGAAATGTCCGTTCGCCTCCTGCCGCCGCCGTGGTGGTGGTGCTGCGCCGTCAAAGCTCAACCTACCTGACGGCAGTGGGCTCGTACGGTGCCGAGGTCGCCACCCAGTCAGAGAAAGGAAAAAAGAAAAGGAAAAAAGAAAAGGAAAAAGAAAAGAAAAAAAGAAAAGAAGAAAAAAGGAAGAAGGAAGAAGGAAGAAGCATGCAGCTTGAGGATTTGCAATGCATCGTCATCACCATCCTACTCTATCTATCTGACTATCTATCTAAGGTATCTATCTAACCATCTATGCAAGCGTCACCAACCAACTAACCTTCTTCTGCACTTCCACCTACCCGCACCCGCACCCGGACCCGTACCTCACCTCCCCTCTTGCTCCCCCCTCTGGCCGGCCGCCGCATCCCACCTGCCGAAATCAGGCGGTACAAATAGTAGTAGTATCCCAAGGAGCGTCGCTCCGCACATCATCCATGCATGCCATGTGATGATGATTTCCTGCCGCCCGATCACCCTCGACGACACCTCTGACAGCGGCAACCCAGCCAGCCACCCGTCGACACAGCTGCCCCCAACCGGGGGACCGCTGACGTAGGCTGTAGCTATATATGTGAGTCGCTCTCTTTATATATACGTGTGTGAGTGTGTGTGTGTGTGTGTGTATTATATATATATCTATATATACATATACCTACATATATAAGTATGCGTCTCAATCCCAAACGTCTCCAGCCACGCCTCTCCCGCTCCTACACGTATATATAGCGCGCGAGGGCGTCACCTGAGCCACCATCTCTCTCTCTGCCGTCGATAAACATAGTCACGAAATCTAAAGCCGTCGCCCGCTCCTCACCTCATCCTCGTTCGTGCCAGGTCTGGGTTTGGGGGGCGGTTCGCATCGCATCGCATCGCGTCGCGCCGTACGTAGCGACTTCACGGCATGAATGTCTGCCCCTTTCGTTTCTCGCGAGCATCGTCCGTCCGTATCTCTCGTTTATCGGGGTCCGCGGTTGGTGGGTGGATGGGTGGGTGGTTTGGGGTGTCTGGTCTTTTTGCATTGTTCCGCTCACGTGCCAGCTGGTGGTCCGGAAGGGAGGTACTACGTAGGTAGGTTATTTACAGTAGGTAACGTCTCGGTTATCGGATAGGAAAGTATCAGTTGCGTTCGGTGGTGTGCGGAGATGCTTTTCGGTAGGTAAAATTGGTAAGTCACGATGCTTTTTTCTTCTTTTTCTTCGCAAGATATGTAGGACTAGTACTAGTACTAGTACTGTAGGTACTCCGTCAGTCAAGATGCTTTTCCGAAGTGGGAGTAGTGGTGCGTGGTACGTGGGTATGTGTGGTACGGTAAGGATGAGTGACGGTAGGGTGTTAGGGGTATGTATCGGAAGGGACGGACGGAAGTGCCGGTGCGTGAAAAAGGTTTCGGGGTAGGGAGGTACTACTACTACGTAGTAGGTGGGTAAGGTGGATGCTTACTCAGAGGGGGGTCTATCTACCTTACGTAGTACCACTATCTCTCTGTATATGATCCCGCGAATACTCCGTACATCTATCCTCTCCAGGTCTCTTTCACAACGTCCAAGGTGCGTCCCCTCCTCGTCTTTTCCTCTGTCTTCTGTGATGCATCCGATCAGACTGCAAGAGAAGCAGCAGGATCCCGATCCCACAGTCCTCTCGCGGGGTTTGCATATTTCATTCAATTGTATTCAATTGTATGCAATCCAATACAATGCCTTCCACCGACTAGCCTTTCACATCTGTACAATCCCCCTCAGCCAACCCACCACCTCCCCAACGAGGCTCTCACCCATCTTCCAAACCGCACCACACCACACCACACCCCAGACCCAGGACCCCTCCCGCACCCCTCCCTCCACATCTCAAACTCCACCCTTTACACTTTATCTATTTTCGCAAGCTATTCCCGTTCTAGGGGTAAAGTATGCTAAGTACGGTATGAATGCCCACGGCACGGCATCAGGGCAGAGGCGGGCGAAGCTTGAAACTGTAAAATAGGGAAGAAAAAAAAAAGTCTAAGATACTACAGCGTGCTGGGGACTAGGTCTGATAGTAGTAAGTACGTAGAGGCAAATCATGCGATCGGTTCATGTTCGTTTCGCCTGATTGGGGGGGGGGGGGGGGGGGTTAGGTAAGCGTGGTCGATGAGGTTGTGCGGGATGCATGAATGAATTGAATTGAATGAATGAATGAATGAATGAATGAATGAATACGCGGTCGCAGGTGGGTGATTAAGTGGGTTTATTGTTTATTACCTTTGTGATTTGACCTGATTTAACTTGATTGACCTGATTTAACTTGATTTGACCTGATTTAACTTGATCTGAACTGATGTAACCTGATCTGAATTGATGTAACCTGATCTGGTTTCAATTTGATTTTATCGATTGTTTTTTATTACCGATTTGGTCCGACGGCGGGGTAGGTAAGAAGGTACTACGTAGAATAGGACCGAACTGGAAGGGCCGCAGAAACGGCGGGCCAACATCTTCGTTTTCGTTATCGTTATCTGCCACCGGATCCCTCGTCCCCAGTCCCAGTCCCCGTCCAGGCCGGGCATCAATCACTCACTCACTCACTCACTCACTCAACAGCTCTGACTACGTAGTATCTCCACCGTGGATACCCGCCCGCCCGGACGGGAAGGTCTGGCTAGTACAGTAAGTAAGTAGTAAGTAGGTACTAAGTACGACTACGTACGTACTACTGCGTGGTGCCCGATGATGCTGATTCCACATCCAGCACTCGAACTCAGATTCAAACCCCGAATCCATCCCCAAGCCGCCAAAGCCAAAATATACTACTAGTATCCAAACCCCCAAAACCCAAATCGCCCCACCTCGCCACACCAACGCCGTGCCACGCCGCTGGGAACGATGAATTGATGAATTCATTAAGTGACTCATGGGGCTGTCTGAATTGATGAACTGATTCTTCCCGCTGTCAAGTCGATGTGTCCGATTTCGGCTGGTCGTCAGTCGGTCGGTCGGTTCGCTGCCCGGCCAGCTGGTAAAGAAGGTTGGGTTGGTTGGTTGGTTTTCCTCGCGGTACAGTACCGGTAGGTACAGTACCGGTAGTACGTAGTATGCTTATGCATCCATCCATCCCCCTCCCATTCCAATCTCCTGGAGCGAGGCCAAAGTCAAATCGAGTGCACAAGCTTGCCTCGGAGAGCCGTATTCGCATCCCACACGTTATGCTTATTCTGGCTGTATGTGTATGGGGTACGCATCCCCGCTATCCCATTCGTTCGTTCGTTCGTGCCATGCATCTCCTTCATCCGCTACGTAGTAGTACGTAGTACGTAGTATGTGCTTCATCCGGAATGAGAGGCGGGGAAAGCCAATCAGAGCGTCTCACACGCAATATCGGATTCGAAAAGGGAAAGTCTCGGGGGCCGCCTAGGCTCGCTCGCTCACTCACTCACTCACTCTATCTGCGTGCCTGAACCGTCTTAGTCTCGTCATCATTTAAGCAGCCGGGTTCGAGAGCTTTGGTGAACCAAGGGACTTTTCCGAACTCCGCTGGGGTGAATATCACGCGGATCGTTCGGTACGGTAGCAGAAGATACGAGCCCCAGAGGCGACAGAGCGTTCCCCAAGCCGGAGACGGGGCCCGGAGATCGATCGCTCGTGAGGATATAGTACCTAGTAGTACTAACTCGCCTCCACAGCCACGCTAGGCTCGATCCCGTACCATCCGCAGATCGAGCGGGAGGAAAATCATAGTCATCGCAATAAGTCGTTATAGTACGGTAAGTCGTAGGACCGTTTAATACCGGTACTCTCGAGGCCCTACGAGCGTGTCCATCATGCATGCATGCATGCATGCACAAGCAGGCCCGCCGATCATCGATGATCGTCAACTCGTAAGGCCCCGTCGTCCATTATTTTCATCATACTTGGAGCGGGAGGTAGGTAGGAAGGCAGCCGCCGCACGCGGGTGTCGTTGGCTTTGCTCCGAGACCCCTTCTGTGAGACCCTTTCTCTATTGCTTCGACTACTATAACTGGCTTTGTGGATAGTGGAAAATCGGAGGGGGGGGGAAATCACGCCGCGTTCTTCTGGAAGGGAACCTGTTGCTTGCTGTCCGGATCGCATCTTGGAAAAAGGCTTCCTCGTCTTGTTTCTAGTTGTGACTCGATATTTAAAGTAATTGTGTATCTTGCCGGGGGGGGGGGGGTTTTTTTTCATCATCCTCTTCCACTTCTTCTTCTTCTTCTTCTTCTTCTTCCTCCTCCTCCTCCTCCTTCTCCTCCTCCTGATCCTGTCTTGGGTACCCTCAAAGCAAGTTCCAAGGCTCTTCCTCAGCACCCAGTACCACCAAGTCACCTACCTACCCACCACGCACCCGGGTCCGAAGCCATGGTCTGTTTGCAACTTCGGGTCCAGTCCAGTCTAGTCCAGTCTAGTCCAGTCTAGTCCAGTCTAGTCCAGTCCAGTCCAGTCCCGACGCTGCAGATGCAGATGCAGATGCAGGTCAGGGCAGGGCAGGCCGCAGCTGCCTCCTCGCCCACCTCCCCCCCCCCCACACACCGAAATTCTTTCCCTTCCCATCCCATCAAAGCGTCTGATCCCTTCCAGCACACCCACCCAACCCAACCTCCCTGCCCGGCTGGTCCATTCTCGTCTGGCGCGGTACCTAGGTACTGTGCAAAGGTCAACTCTGTGCCCTGACCTAAGCTTGACCTGACCAGTCTCCTCGGAGCGCAGACTAAGGCTTTTTTCAGAAGCACAGAAATCAAGCGAAGATGCTTAAAAAGTACCACTACTTAAGCAAGTTACCTGGTGCGGCCAGCATACATACGTAGTACCTATCTGTGCCCCCCACCTCGAGAATCACCCCCAAATATAGAGTCGGATATACTCGAAATAGTCGCCCAGCTTATATTTAGGAACGATCTTCGAGAACAAGAACCGGAAGATCAACACGCCAACTGGTTGGTAATGTTAATAAGATGAAGCGAATATCGAAGAGAGTTTGGTCAGCGAGATTATCTATCCCTTTCCTGCACTTAACTTCAGAACTGCATTCGTGAGTCTCTTTTCCCTTTTCCTCTCTTCTCTCTTGCAAGCTTGCTTCTTTCCCCCTCCGTCGGCTCCCTCACTCTATTTCGGGGATCCTGCAAATCGCGATGCCACTCCCGAGATCGATTTGCGCGATCCTGCTAGCCTTAAGCTTTCTCTTTGATGGAGCGCGCGGAGTAACTCCAGGACGGATAGTGATCGGCTACCGAACCGTTGCCGAGGTAGGTTGGTTTTGGTTTCACTTGGGTTCACACAGGATAAATAATATAAGCTTATACCGACTTACGCGAATCATCTATCATAGGGGGAAGCCGAGGATATCAACGAGGATAACAAGCCGTATAGGGAAGCACTGATCGATGAAGCTCGCCAGAAGCTTAATCAGCTGGGAAACGGCCTACATATCAGTAAATCAATTTCATATTTTGTACCACTGCATGTGTCACGCTCTTGTTGCGCTCAAGCTGATAGACTCTCAATAGTGCGGGAGCCGGTTAGCTGGGAGGGCTTTCCGTGGTGGCGCAACTGGTACTGCGTCATCGAGGCGGATATCAACAAGATTGCCAAAGCGCACAAGATATACATCCCCGAATACTACCAACAGACGGACTGGGACGGCCAGCGTAGCGATGTGGTACTGTGGCACGGAGGCGAAGACGTTATCGTGGATTACATCACGCAGGGTGTGCCGAAAGACCCCGGGAAGGCGCTGCGCTTCTCGTGGATCTCGGATTTCGACTGGGAGCTGCAGATGCTCATCCCCACCGCGGTGGTAAACAACGACGAGTTGGACCTGTGGTCTGAATGCTTCGAGACGAAGGACGAGCTGAAGGAATACTCGAGCGAGGTTGTCGATTGGGAGAGCTGGGGTATCGCGGGGGATTGTGGACTACCGAGTCTGGAAACCTTCGTTCCGTGGATAGACGATGTTTGAAAACTTGAAAACGTGCTTCCCATCCCCGCGTCGTGGGTGTTCTTGTGTGATGACCTCCCTATCCGACTCCCGCTTTGTAGAGTAGAGTACCGGTAATTTGGAAAGGAGTGGCTCGGCAGTCGAAGCTGTTCTCGTATCCAGTATCCAGTATCCAGTATCCAGCTGAGCGAAAATGACATATGCCCGACTCGCGCTCTAGAAGCGAGTTAGCGAGCGCTCCCCGTGCTGCGTGTTGTGGAGTTTCCCGAGATGGATACCGTACGCTATGGATGCAGAGCACGGTTGTTCGATGTACTACGTACTACGTATGCCGGTACATACTCAGATATACTACGGTACTACCTACTACTTACTACTACTTACAACTACCGTACGTCGGTACCAGCTGGAGTCGTCCGTCTGCCTAAGCGTACCGACGGACTGTTAGATAGATCACGATGCCTGCACCCTGCACCCGCACCCGCACCCGCACCCGACACCCGACACAGATACTAGTAAGTAGGACAGCTGCACCTCGGGACACCTGCAGGCTGCCGCCCTCGCATGGCGACGGGTTGCTGCAGATTCCCCGGGTTGCTTGTTCGGCGGGCTGGGTTGAGGTTTCGAGACTTTCGAGACCCGATAGGTAGTCTTGTCTGTCTATTTGAGAACTGGCGCCCGTCAGTCAGTCAGTCAGTCAGTCAGTCACTCACTCACTCACTCACTCACTCACTCATCCTGCATTTCTTTCCATGGCGATCATCCACGCAACCGCACCAGGAAACCCCCCGTGCGCATCTGCTACCCCATACTACTACTCCGTACATACAACTATCCAGCATTGCATTCCTTCGTGCTGCGACGCCGGTACGCTTGCCTGCCGTGTTACTGCTTCAATGCCCTCCTCCCTGGCTGCATGGCACACCCATGCCTGAACTCTCTCTCTCTCTCTCTCTCTCTCTCTCTCTCTCTCTCTTAAGGACCAGGACGTAGGTAGTATCGCGAGGGAGTTCAATAGAAAACGCGCAACGGGATCAATCGAGGGCAATCTAATTCTGACCTGCCGTTCCATCGCCCCGCCTCACACTTCCTGACCTTGTCGATCATCTCGTCCGCATCGTAGACCGTCGCAGCTACCAAGCACATCGTCAAACATCATCGTCCTCACATCCTGCACGGCCGAGAGTCAGTCCCGTCCGGAGTACAGGACGTAAAACGTAAAGGGAGAGAGTCACAATCACAATCCTGTACAGTAACAATCGATCAAACGCTTGGACGCTTACCAGCCCCCTCCCCCATCCGAGCGTCGCCTTTTGACCTTCCGTCAGTGCGGAAATCTTCACTTGTCTTCCTTCTCCAACACCGTGACGTCGGGAGAGGGAGAACTTGTCTTGCTGATTATGCTTTTCCTTACTCCGACTAGTACGTAGTAGTAGTAAGTACAGGCCTAAGTACCCACGGTACAGGCCTAAGTATTGCCCCTCGAGGGTCGGGTAACCAGGGGGTTTGAAAGTGGGAACGAAACTTTGGAGGCACCCTCGAGGGGTAATACTTACTACGTACTAGTAGTACTTACGCCTGTACCGTGGGTATCTACGTAGTACTATACCTACTACTCTGTCCGGAGCGTGCTCGCCAGCCAGCCACGTGTGCAGAACTGCCTATCGGACCGGATTGGCTCGGATTCCAAGCCCGTCGAGGAGACGACCCTCTCCTCGATCCTTCTACTTATCTGCGCCCTGGTCAATATCTGATTTTCGTATTTCGGACCTGAGCAGACCAGTCGCGCCGGGCTAGCCAGCCTCCATCCATCCATCCATCGCCAAATCGGCACCTTACCTTCTTCAAAAGAGGAAGAAGAAGAAGAAGAGAGACGAGTGGGGGAGGGGGGCGGGGGGGGGAAAGGCAAAACAAAAGTCTCTTTATCCTACCTGCATATAGCCGAGAGGCCATTCATTCCGTCCGTCAAACCAATAAATGTCCGACCACCTCCGCATTTTCCAAGCACACCCCGCGTTCGACCAGAGGGAAAGACAAAAACAAAACAAAACAAAAACAAAACAAACTTTTTTACCCTCCCCCCTACCCCCCCCCCCCCCCCCCCCCGGTAATTCCAACCGTGCTTGGAGCCATTGACAGATTGTGAAAGGGACCAGAGGCCCATCCATCTTCTTCCCAACACAACACACCTATCTATCTCCTGCTCGCTTCCCCCGCGCCTCCACTCCCAGCCTCCTACGTCCTACGTCCTACGTCCTACGTCCTACGTCCTACGTACTACGTACCAAGCACCAGTAACCCCCGTGCCCGTGCCCGGTCCCGGTACCGGCCTCGCGGACGCCGCCCGCCCATCAAAGCGAGGACCTACCGGTACTGTCTGTACCTACCGGTAGCGCCTCGTGAGGACGTACCCAAAACGGAGTCCCGGCCGAACGCCCTAACTCTACTCGCGTCTCAACCCATCCCAACTCGGGTAGTGGGAGAAGCCGAAGGGGCGGAAGAAGAAGAAGAAGAAGAAGAAGAAGAGAAGAAGAAGAAGAAGGAGAAGAAGACCGACCCCGTTTGGCGTCCGAGCCCGTTTCGCCCGCTTTTAAATGTCCGATGCGTGTAGTCTTCCTGTATGTAGTGTGTACGTACAGTAGTGTGTACGTTCAGTAGTATGTACGTTGTATGTACGTTGTAGGTAGGCATGTACGTACCTGAGTCAGTCTGTTCCGAGCGTTTTGCTCCGGCTGGAGCTCGGGAGGCCAGAAGGGGTCGTTGGTCCGACGTGAGGGTAACTCTATGGGGTAGGTGCTCTTTCTGTCCTGTCCTGTACTGTACGTGAACTTACCGGTGGGTACCTATGCCGGTAGTGGAACATGTGTCAAGTACAAGTACGTACGGGAGTAAGTGAAGTGGGTGGGTGGGTGGGTAGGTGCCGGTGGAGGGGGAGGGGGAGGGGGAGGTGGATGAGTACCGCGCGTCCGTCAAGATCAGATACTACCGTACATCTATCGAACGGAACCCTGGGATTAATGATTGGGATGCGCAACTTGGTAGTAGTATCTGCTCTGCCGGATTGGCGGCGACGATGCCGGAATGGGAAATGGGACCTGGGAGAAGGGGATGTACTACGTACGTCCCAGGCCTAAGTATTACCCCTCGAGGGTAGGGTAAGCAAGGGGCTTTACAGTGGGAACTAAACTTTCGAGGCACCCTCGAGGGGTAATACTTACGCCTGTACCGTAGTATGTCCTGTCGTGAACGTGTGGACGTGTAGACGTACGCCCTATCGCTGGATGAGTGGTGTGGTCAGTGGGCCACTCGCTTCACAGTATAGTACCGGTACAGTATACCGTCCTCAACCCGATTCTTCGAAGCGATAGGCATACCTACTAACCCCCGTCCTCCAGTGTCCACATCTCTTTTTTCGTCTCGCTCTTCCTCCCTTTCCCTTTCCCTTTCCCTCCCTTCTTCTTCTTCTCTCTGTGGGCAGCGCGACCCTCTCTGCTTTCCCTGACTCGAGCTCTTACTCGAGCATCAAAGTCAAAGAGGGATGGATAAAACATCCGAAACGGGCTCAAGATGCCCTCGGACGGCAGGCTCTGGTAACCCGGAAGAAACTTACTCGGTTAGGTTTTGTGGACTGGAAACCTCATACTACGTAGGACTACGTGCGTAGGTACGTAGTAGTAAGTAGTAGTACTTATCACCATCCCCTATCCGGGGACGTGACCTACCCGTTGGGTTTTGCAATTTCCAGATACCTTTTTTTTCGCAAATCTTTAGTTAATTTTTTTTTTTTTTTTTTTTTTTCGTTCATTTTGAAGGTGTGGGATTCTGAAGGGCTCGTGAGCTCGTATTGTGGAAAAGACGAAAATCCGGACCGACGTGGTGTAGGTGTACCGATCTTCGGAGACCTCCCTCGCCCTCCACCCCCCTTCCCCCCCCCCCCCCTTTCTACGTGTCGATCTTTTACCTTACATAAGTACTGCTACTTACTCGTCGTGTATCAACAGCGTTTCCCCAAAGCGGGGGGGTGGGGTTGGGCTTGGGGTTTCCCGGTAGCTCTCTTTCCGGAAAGTACTACCTACTACTACGACGTGGGGCCATGCATGGCGCACTGCAGAGACGAACGGAACCCCTGGCCAAAACGAAAGGGTCCTCTACGCATACTCATCCCCAGCGAAGCAATCGGCAGCGCGAGTTTTACTTTGACGTCGCCGTGCTTGGGAGATACTACGTAGTACGTAGTAGATGCGGTAGTGTTTGACCACGAGGGATTTTAGCGGTCTTTTTGCCCCGGGACCTGATAGAGTTATGGGTGTGGAAGATTCCAGACAGGATCGCGAGAACTTTTCGGAGAGAGGGAGAGAGAGAGAAAGATCTAATAATGGGTCCGAAGGAGGGGGGAATTCACAAAAGGACTAGCTTGATATTATGTGTAGAGCTATCTATCGGCCTTGAAACGCAATCTTTATTCACCACATCGATTGTGAAAGATATCTCTCCCCCTCCCTTGTGAAGAATCTTGGGAGAAATCACAACCAATTGATCGAGAAATGCTGGCCTTATAGGGTAGCTTCTGCTCTATAGTTTTCCGTACGGACAGGTCATCGAGTGACGGGTTAAAGCCCATTGGTTAGCTAGCTCTTGAGATCAAAATCACGAGCTCATGAAAAGGCATACGTAGGATAAGAGGTCAAGATACCGTTACCATTGAGAGGGCCAATAATCAAGATTCCAACAGGATCTTTTCCCGATTCCAGGAAACTAGTGGGTAAAGGAGTCCAACGCTTCCTCCTACTTGGACGTCTCGACCTACCTAGCGGTTGTTGACTTGGCAGCGGTTGGAACCCAGGTATTGGGATACTGAGGTTCGAAAGCCACACAACGTCAGGCCGGGAATGAGAGGAGCTATCTTCGTAATACTGAGTTCTCGGGTCGAACCATAGGTCGCTAATTACATAACATGACATAAATACCTATGCATCCACCTCAGTCCTCGGTGCTATGGGGCTCGCTTAATCCTTGGCGGATATGCCACGTTGAAGATGGTCGTAAGGCTCCGATGCAGATGCAGAAGCAGATGCAAACGCAGAAGCAGACGCAGGTGCAGAAAGCTCAGGGCTGACGTTCCCAAACAACGCAGAGTGACGAGAATGGCCATTTCGACCTACTCGTGTACCAAGCTCATTGGCTGTCAGGCGCCCTGATTGCGAGCATCGTATATTACATCCAACGACCACATGTTCGCGTTGGCTTCACTTCAAAGTAAGTACGCTTCAGTTATATCGAATCTTTCGGCGGGCATCTCCATCTCCATAGTTCATACCAGGCTTTCCAAATTCGCACCTCGGGCAGTCTACCCACTGCCCCTATGTCTCCCGCTCTCGATCGTCCATTGGGAAAGCCACTCGTCGTCAACCTGATCACCCCCTCAGAGTCACAGCCCGAGCCCAACGAAGCAGCAGTTCCGCTCAAGCCGGAGACACCGCCAGCAACCGAGGACCGAGAACCAAGACTCAGCCCTCAGATTCAGCAGGTGCCCACAATCTCTCGAGACATCACACCGGCCAAGGACGTCAAAAGCGAGAACTGCATCGGCTTCGCCTCCATTCCCGTCCGCCTCGCAGGTCCCTTGGAATTTCATGGGACCTACCAGAAACGGAACAGCATCAACGCGCCTCTCGCAACAACCGAGCCCATACTCGTCGCATCATGCACACGCGGCTGCGAGGCCTTTTCTGCCTGCGGCGGTGTTTCGGCATCGGGGCTCAAAGAGGGTCTAGCTCGCAGCCCGGCGTTCACCTTCTCGAGCGTTTCCCAAGCACTCGGATTCTACACCGCCGTCCCGTCGCTGTTCCGCTACCTAAAGAAGGCAGCTGAGCGGACGACGAGACATGGGATCTTGACGTCCGTCACCCCCCACATCGTCGGTACCTCAGTTCATGTCCGGTTCGTGTACACGTGCGGAGATGCGACGGCTGGGCAGGCCATGACGACTTGGGCGACTGACGCCGCGTGCTCGGCGCTCATGCTTGAGCGTCGTCCCCCGGGACTGATCCACTTCATGAGCGACGGGAACACGTCCGGGGACAAGGAGCTTGCCTGGGGATCTCTGCCGGAGCCCAGCGGGGTGTCGGTCATCGCATGGGGGACGATCACCCACGATGCCAGTGAGACGATGCTGGGATGCTCCACCCAGGAGTTGAAGTCCGCGCTGTCGGTGCTCGAGGGGGGCGGCGCGAGACACGGTCAGATCGGGCAGGGCGTCAATAGTACCGCGAACATCGTGGCCGCGATGTTCATCTCGTGTGGTCAGGACGTGGCATCCGTACTCGAGTCCGGAGTCTCCCATCTCACCGGCGAGTATGACCCAACGACGAAAGACCTCACCTTGAGCCTGTCCTTCCCATCCCTGCTGGTCCGTACCGTGGAGAGCTCAGCGAGTCACGCCACTCAGAGAGAAGCGCTGGAGCTCGTCGGTTGCGCGGGAGCGGGCAGGAGGTGGGCCTTCGCTGAGACGGTGGCGGGGTTTGCGCTGGCGCTGAACTTGAGTACGCTGGCTGCCTTCGCTAGCAACACGTTGGCGGCTGGTCACAAGAACAACAACTTGGCTCGGGGACCGAAGGCGAAGCTTTGATGCGCTTTCTGTGTCCTACTTGAAGATAGGGTAGAGCTGGATTGTCTTTGCGAAGGCACGAGTGGCGGGCATACTTAAGCGCCATGTGAGGCTGCCGCGGCGAAGGTGCCGGCATCAACGATCCTGTTGGAAAGTAGAAGGCTATATATATCTGTAGAGCCAGCAACTGCGACATTGTCCGTAAACTCAAGAAAAGAGAAGAAAAACTTCGCTGTGACATGTAAGAGGTTGAAATATGGCAGACTTGATGCATGTCAACCTGAAGTTGACATAATCAGCGGCAGACCGCAAGTCAAACCACATTACCACATTACTCTAACGCACCGTAAAACGGACAATCGATGTTTCTTTTCTTTCACGACACCATCCATCCAGCTAGATGGCCGGGAAGTGCTGCCTGCACCTTGAACACATGATCAGATGCTGCTCGACAGGCATATATATATTCAATATCTGCAGATCACATACCGTCTCTTGAATCAATTTTCAGAGTCCCTATAATAGTTAGCTAGCTGTCCAGGCAGATATAGTAGTCGTAGTCGTATAATGCCCGGTTTGGAGCTGGCGTGCCTTATCATTAGCTGCTATGCGTTAGGCGAGAAGTAAACATGGAGGTGGTCATAGTGCGTCAGGACCTGGACCTGGACCACGCCAGCGACACACGTACTCACAGGCAAAGAAGACGTGTTGTTGAGCGCCAGGAGAGCGTTTGGTTGTAGCTTACGGAATGTGGTTTGTGGTCGACGAGGCATGCATAGTACCTCACCCGGGCTCTGGCACCATATGCACAAATATGCTCACTCTCAAGTCGGCTTCTGCGGGACAGGCTCTGAAGTGGCAGAGTGCGTTCCAAAGTGTGCGCAGGAAAGGAGGGCATGGAGGAGGCAAGAAATAATTGGGGGAGGTACGGTGTAGACTTCCTGACGGTAGAGTGCGCAGGCAGGCTACGTACTAGCCGACTCTCACCCAAAGACAAGGAGCAGTCCCAAGTTGCACCGCGCCTGATCATGTTCGCCTGCGCTCCACCCTCTGCTATCCACCAAACCGTCTCGAAGACTGTTCACAGCGTGTACGCATCCAGCTCCTGCTCTGTCCACTCCCACAACCTGTCCGCCAACTCGTCATCTTTCGTGCGTCCACTCCCCTGCTTCTCGACGCCCACGGGCGTATAGTACTCCCCTCCCTTGACCTCCTCCTTCGGCCCCACCGCAGCCCAGAGCTGATTCAGAGCGCCCTCCGCCACCCCAGTGTACACGTAGCTCTTCCCCTTGTTCAGCAGCTTCCCCAGGCCCCAAAAGCCCGAGAAGGCACTCCGGTACAGTTCCGTATCCACGACGCCCGGATGCACCGCCACCGCCGTCACGCCCTTCTCCGCGAACCGCTTCTGCAGCGCCTTCGCGAACAGGATGTTGGCCAGCTTGGACTGCCCGTAGCGACACCACGTCGAGGCCTGCGCCATGTCGGTCTTGAGATCCGGGAAGGCGATGCCGCCGCGCGGGGTGTAGACGTGGGCGATGGACGAGACACACACGACCCTCACGTCGGAGCCGGGCTCGGCGGCCGTCCGCACGAGCGTGGGCAGGAGCAGCTTGGTGAGGAGCGCGTGTCCGACGTGGTTGGTGCCGAACTGGATCTCGTAGCCCTCCTGCGTCGTGCCCGCCGGCGAGGCCATGATGCCCGCGTTGAGGATCAGGACGTCGAGCCGCGTCTCCTGCGAGGTCAGTTCCCGCGCGCACGCCTGGATCGACGGCAAGGAGGTCAGGTCGCAGTGGATGTACGTGATCGGGGCAGCAGGCACGAGGGTTTGCAGCTCTGCGATGGCGGCGTTGGCTCTGGACTGCGTGCGGGCGGCGAGGTAGATGCGCTTGGGGTTGTGCTTCGAGAGCTGGAGGACCGTTTCTCGGCCGAGTCCGACGTTGCCTGCGTTCGACTTTGAGCTCTGCACGTATCAAGCGGTCTATTTATCTGGGAGGTACATACCGCCGGTGATGAAGATGATCTTGCCAGCCAGATCTGGGATATCGGTGTCTGCCTTGAACGAGACGGCATTGCGGGAAATGGCACCGTAGAGCATTCTGAAAGCTGTATCGACGTCGCAGATTGCGTGGAAGTTGGCGGACTGCCGACTTCTATTCCCCAGGGCTTAAAATACAGGTTGAAGAGCACTACCTAGGCCTTATGGCTGCTGACGTGGATAGTATGAAGGCATACCGGTAGTGTGATGTTTATTTGTAGACAGGCTCTTTCACAGTGTGGAATCCTAGCGACTTCTTATCTTTTCTGCAGGAGCCTGACTATTGGAGAACTGGGGCCGTCCGACTTTAGCGCCCGTCTGGTAAATCTTATTTTACCACCAACCTAAGGTACTTAGCAGATGGGGACATTTACCAAACAAACAGCTTCTCAACGTCGGATCTAATTTTCACGAGAAACGTTGCGAGTAATAGTGGGACTTGACGTCGCAACAGTAGGGGCCGTCCCTTAGAGTCGGCAAAAAAAAAAAAAGATGTCTTCCGTCGTACTTTTTCCAATATTACTCGTTTTATAAACGATGACTGATGACAAAAACTTAATATTTTGATATTTAATAATAGCACCGACTCATAGAATCAGTTTACAATGCGTTAGCTTATTTACGTATTGTTTATTTCGAGATGTAGATTATTTGGAAATTTGATTCAGCCGTTCAAATCAGTAAACCCCCCCCCCCCCCCCCCCCCCCGGTCGCAGATACACATATTTCGAGCAATACAAATCGCGATAGTATATAACTAGCTTTGAAAAAACTATGCTTTAGTATCTGAGGATTACACCGATTAAATCATTCCTTTTCTATTTCTATATCTAGATTTGTTGCTGAGTTATGTACATAAGAAGCTGAAATTTCACGATTCTAAGCGAGTTTTCAAGCTGATTTTGGTGTGTTCGACGGAAGACGTCCTTTTTTTCGCCTACTTTGAAGAAGGGCCCCTAAATTTGCGACGTCAAGTCCCACTGTTATATATATATATCCACTTTGAAGTTGAAGCGAAGCAACAGACAAGTAGAAAAAAAAAAACGCCCAGATAGCCGAAAAACATATTGTTGTTATTCCTTCCAAAAGCAGTCAGCTAGCCGTACGGAGTTGACCCCGTTAGTTCACAGCAGCCTTCTTGCATGGCCCTAGCGATGGCCATCCAGACTCCAGTATTTACGTTTCGCAAAACCGGCGATCACGGATGAAGAGACGGGTCGGTAGGGAGGTGAAGTAGGATAAACAAAGCAAGGATTATGGTAATCGGACACACACAGGAAACCATTATTCTAACAACACAAACCAAAATACGCAGTTGGTATCAAGTCCAAACGCCCACATTCACCCGCGTGCACGCCATTGATCTTAGTAGTCAACCCTCTTCTCCCAAACAGGGGCATCCTCCAGACGCACAAAATCGCACGTCACCTTATTCTTTTCGTCAAAGCTGGCGAAGCGGTCGGTGATCGGCACCACCTCAAGAGAATCCTCGACTTCCCGCTGCGAGATGCCCATCGGATCCCTCACAATCCACAACTTCGGCACCTCGCTCGTTAGCGCGGGGTCGTAGTACGCCAGCTCTTCCTCTTCGGGCGTGTATGCCGGAGGCGGGTAGTTTGGCACCAGAGAGCGGACAGAGCCGTGGGACTTGAACTTCGACGGGTCGAAGAGATGCTGGAAGAAAGACGCCTTCTGGGCGGTGAATTTCCTGGGTTCCGAGACGAGCATTTCGGAGGGGGGGCCGCCATCTTTGGAGTGGTCGTAGGATTTATGGTCGGTGGTTGTGAAGAGCGACACTTGATCTGGGCCTTCCATGCTCTCGGGGAGATACATGGTCAGGGGCCTGAGAGCTTGGCGCATCATGGCGTGGTAGATGACTGTTGCGGCCAGAAAGATGGCCATGAGAACAATGGGGCCTGGAGCAGTATTTATAGCGAAGAGACCGAGAAGGCAGACTTCGCCGATATAGACGCCAGTCATGAGTTGCTGGATTGCTTTGGCGTAAGCAGCGCCATGGGTGTCAACGTTGTTGGTCAAGGTGAAGAAGCTGTTGTAGCGGACGGCCAGGTATATGATTGCGAAGCCAACAGTAGCGAAGCCCATGACGAGAGGAGAGATAATTGAGTATGCAAGGGCTGGACGGAATGGTCAGCATGATGTTGTGTTGAGAGGGGGATGGGAAGAGAACTAACCGATGACGCCCAGATTACCAAATTTAGGGTAAAGAGACCCCCAGCCGAGTCCAGCGAGCGTGATATAACGCTTGAAGATCTTGCGAGGGGACTTGTCGAGGAACTTTCCGAGAACTGTGAAACCGACCAAAGCCCCGATATTCAGCAAATTTCCAGCGGCAACACCCAGGCCAATGACAATGATGTACGAGATGAAGAAGTTAGAGGCTTTTGGCAAGTTTTCCGCCAGTAAGGTCGTTGCGGAGCCGGGATCGTTGATAATGGCTGTGACGGTAGAAGCAGCTCCAGACGAGAATGTCATGACGAGGAACACTTGGATAACCTGGAAAGCCATGTACCACGATTGACATTTCAGCTCGACAGCTGGGTGTGTGACCTCTCCACCTAATTTGGCCATCCCTACAAGGATTTTTTAGTGACAAAATTTACTCTGGGTAGTATAAGGAGCGCTTACATCGACACACGATCGGGACCAATGCCATCAGAATCGCAAGTGCAACTGAAGGCAGGAGACCGGTAACGACACCTAGAATCACCGGAGGGATATCGTTAATAAATTCCAGAAACGTAATTTCTAACCGTGTTAGTGATTAATTGTCTGATCGGGACTTAAAAACCTACTGTCCGTTAAGTAATTGATGTTACTGATCGCACCAACAACAGCAACGGGAATGGACCAGAAGACAATCATTAAAACGATGAAAGTCGTAGTTGCAAGCTTCCTCATTTTCCTTTGCGACTTGGTGATGCTGAGATTGCTCCAGATGATCTCATTGGGAGTTGCGCTAATGGCACGAGGATACATGTTCGGCGCCTTTTTGGGAGTCATCCGTCGATAAGCAGCTTGAGCTGCATGCTGAGTGTGGAACTCAACAAAAACAGATGGAAGGAGTTTACCCTGGAAGCCCCGTTGAATCTCCTGGTTGTTCTGAACTTCAGGCACCAGTCTCTTAAGCTCGCTTCGGCACCATGTGATAGTATCAACCTTCTTGCCAATCAACGGAATCTTGCCGAGACGATGTTTTGGGCGATCTCCGTCTTTCATATATCGCGCGCCTGGGAAGGCCATTTCGGCATCTGCGCCATCAGCAGGGGCTGCTGGTGCGTCCTTTCTACTGTCATTCTTCTTCTCCCACTTCAGTCTCCTCTTGTTGGCAGTCTGAACCAGCTTGATTTCGGCACTCTCAAGTTTCATCGCATCCTTGTCTCGCTCTTCAACTTTTTCCGCCAATTCCTTGCAATCTGTCACCAACCAGGATCTCCTCATTGATCCACCAAACAAAGCGGCTAGGTTCTCTTGGTTGTGATATTCGGCCGGCACGTCAGTGAAAAGGACTGTACGGGATGAGATCCGCGTGGAGTTAAATGGCGAGAGAAGGTATGCATGGCGAATGTTGATGAAGTAAATGGTCTCGCGAGTAATAACATACATCACAAAGCCTTGATTGTTTAGCAAGTGTTCACCTGCTCTTGGAAATCATGACTTACTGAAGAATATCCAGGCAACGAAAACATGTGCATAGTATCTGTTCTTGCCATTCTTTGGGATGTTCGCAAAGGACAAGAGATCAAACTGCTGAGCGGTACCACCAGCCGTTGCATTGACCGGAAACAAGATCGGGAATGTTATGCAAGAGCCAACGAAGCAGATGACTGTCAGCATCTTGATAAACCTGAGGTATAGATAGCCATCGAGAGACTGGTGGTTGAGAACATATTCATCCGAGAGGTCACTGAACGGCTTGAGCCAGTTGAACTTCCCTGATGGAACCTCTTCTGTTTTCTCGCTGGGTACTGGATTAGCAAAAGCTCCAAACTATAGAAGAATAGTCACCCACCTCTGATAGAGGGTCTCTAGATATGTACGCGGTTGGTAAACGCGTTTCTGCTTCGGTCTAAGGATCAAGAAGAGAACCACGAATGCGCCAGCTTGGATACCAACTGGTATCAGTGTCGCGAGGAACGCAGATACGGAGGAACTGTTCTTGGTTGAATTCGTAGCAGTACCTGAGCCTGCTGTATCAGAGGAAGACTGTTTTGCATTGCAGTCAGTGTTTGAAAGATGGCGAAGGGAAGATTTTGAGAAGAAGGAATAAACATGCCATCGGGATGGGGTAGAGGCGCGCTCAACAGCGCGTCTTAGATTTCCGTCCTCTTGAAGCTGTAAATCAAACTTCGAATTATTGCGAAGAGAAGCTTGTTTGGACTGGACTAAACATGTGTATCATATCTGGGGTAGGGGCTCGCTGGCAGCTGAGCTAGCTAGCTAGCTTAGCGATGCAATTTCCCAGAATCAACATTATTCACGAAAGATCGGCAAAGATGCACCTCGAAAGAGTCATCCCCGCTGTGGCTTGATAAGTTGATACATGGGGGCTCGACGATCCCTTTGGGGAATTCTAGCTTGTTTTTGTGGACCTTGATTTGCAGGACGGATCTCGCAGTCAAATGCCGTCAACTACCGATCGATAAGCTGCAAAATCAACCTCCTGGTGAGTTATATATCATTTTCCAAACAGAATTCCCGTGAATTATGCACGGTGCCGCCACCGTACGTTGTGTATACGTGTTACACAAAGCAAGGTAGATTGCGTTCAGGTGCTGACGTAGCTGCGCAAAGTTCCTTGGATATCTAGTCACGAATTCCGACAGTCATCAACCGAGACCCTTAATCGGGAAATCGTCGGTTAAGAGCTATCGTTTCATTAGTTGTGGAACTTTCAAGCAACTAATCCATGCGACATGTCGTTTAGTCCGGGTTTTCAGTGGTCGGATGGACGGCTGAGGAAAAACCAGCTACCAGATGCTGTGACTGAAGGTGAATCTTTCGGGTAAACAGAAGAGCTGGCATGTCGATGAATGGCGTTTAGCTGCACTCGGGCTCCGAGCTTGGGCCTTAAGCGATGTTGACTGATCGGCCCACGAGATTTGACTTGCACATGGGCGACCGAGCCTTGGTGGTTGTGCAATGACAGAGGGAAAACTCGAAGTGGAATCAAAATTTTGATTTTGGTCTAAGAGAAAGACATATGAGCTTTCATCTTACATTCCCTCTGAGAGGAGATAAAATATTATGTCTGCGAGGCCAAAGCTGCAATTAAGGTGGTGGACTCAGATCCAGGCCTTCCACCACCAGCTTGAAAGAGTCGTTCCTACAAGCAGTTAATGTACCCAGAGAGATGGAGGCGTGAGACCCGAGAATCGTGGACATACCTGGAATAACTTCCCCCAACATCGAGATCTAAGCGTCCCCGAACGCAGTCCTCAAAGTCAATATCAGTAGTCAGCAGCCCGTTCTCATCATCCCACAACGGTCCCACAAGCACATCCCCGAGAGGTGAAATGATGCATGAGCCTCCTCTACACACGAACTCGGATGGATCCTTTTTCGCTAGCGGTGTCTCAATGGCACCAGTCAAATCCTGTCCTTTAGGTAGAGTGCTCGACGGGATAGGTACATCACTGGAGTCCTTGAATTCGCGGAGAGCAATCTCATGGCCCTTTTCCGTACATGTCGATTTGCCTCGCACTCCCAATGGATTCTGAAGACCATTTGTTCCAGGACTGCTATCGATGGAAGCTTCCTCTCCATCATACTCCGTGATCCAAGTCGGTAAATTGGACTTGGTCATGCATTGGTTGGCACTCAATACCACACATCGTCCTTCACAGGCAATTGTCCTCATCAGCGGCAGCCACGTATCCCTAGCATCGGCAGTAGGCGCCAGATAAAGATTGACATTCTGGCTGTAGAGCGATTGTCGCAGCAACGGCATATAGTTTTCCCAACAAATCGCAGAAGCAAGCGTCAGCCTCACATCCTTAATAATCGTCGTAACCGCGCGTAGCGAGGAAGGCTGTCCTTGTCCCCAAATCAACCGCTCACTGCCCGTCTTTGAACGGTCAGTAACGTCCCCGTAAATCATGCAGCAGGTCCATGGCTGTTGGCTTACAGGCATGACCTTCCTCCTCTTCCCTAGAACTCCAAGCCGTGGACACACATATACAGAAGCACAGTATAACGTGCCCGCACATCGCTCTACCAGCCCCGTAACAACAAACACCCCCGTCTCCCTTGCAATCCTTTCCAACTCCTCCCGTGTCCCGTCGCCCCTCACTCCCTCTTTGGGTCGCTCGAGCTCCCGATCAACCCACCTCTTTCCTGCACCTTCAGGTGTATCGCCCAAATCTACCGCATCCTTGAAATAATGTAGGAATTGCTCTCTACCTTCAGGTTTTCGCGCGCCTATTGCGGCCCCAAATGTTGCGGTACGGGGATAGCCACCGAGATATGCCTCTGGAAAGAGGATGAGGTCGACGGATTGGGAGGCGGCCTTTTTGGCAGTTGCTTCGAGGGCAGCGAGGGTTTGAGGGGTGGTCTGGAGGGTATGCGATTGGGAAACTGCAAGGCGAAGGATTTGTGCCATTTTACAGATTAGTAGGCGATGTATATCAGGAGGTTGAGGGAGTTCTGAGAAATGTACGAAGTAGAAGGGATTGGAAGTCCCGGGGTTTTGAATAGGAGCATGAACCCCACTTTGAGCTGGTGTGGGGCATCGCTTTTACTTCCGTATGTGGACAGCCGGCCAGTGCAGTTTGTTGACTCGCTTCTACGGCCTCAGCTTCCTTTCTACTATAGAGGAAAGTAGGGGGTCAATGCATCTGCTGTTGATGAAGACGATCGTAGAGGCGGAGATGATGTAGAGTCATGTACGCTCGATCCGTTAGTTGTTGCAGACTCCAGGGCACTTTGCTTTCTTCTAGCACTGTGCGCCGCCACCACACGCACCAGCGATACGCGTTTCCGGAATATCTTCTCGCTGATATCCGTCAGAGCTTGCCAGATTGAGTGTGCCAAAAATCATCTGTAATACTTCGAGTGGTAGTGCGTCCAGAGTCCCGATGCTGGGACGTGGTGAAGCTGGTGCAGGTTGCAGTCGGCCGTTATCGAGTGGATAATGTGCTTGGAGGCATTGAGGATGTATTGTCTGGCTACTTAATGAGCGCCGCCATGTCAGATGACGGAGCTCTATTGCATTCAAAATCGTTGTGATGCCATGATTGGTATTTGCGCATTAGGCTGTTGAACACAGGAAGTAAATCAACGAGATTCTGTATTCTAAATCTGACATCGTAATCGCTCATCCCGAGAAGTCTGTTTTGTTGGAGGTTTAGGCGCAGGTACACTGAATGAAGGCTCCATGATGAAAGTACTGATTTCAGTCCGTATTTGTGAGTTGGATATTGATGTATTTGAAGAGATTATCTGAGAGAACTGGATTTCGCCAGTACGATTGAAGTTATTAATCACGCTGTTTCCCTTGAAAATAGCAATTTCTTTAGTGCGCCGATTTGCTTTAGAAACCTCTATTTTGCTCCAGCGAGAATCGAATCCATTTCTGTTTTCCTTTTGCTGGAGCGCTTGCTCGGAGCTTTAATACCGGTAGTGCTCCTTTAGCTTTCGCAATACTTTCTCGAGGGATTTTCCGTATCTAAATGTTGGTCGATCGACGTATACCTTTCGTGCTATTAGGTAATCTCTTAGCTCTCGGAGTAATCTTTCTGTTATATTGCGATTCGGGCCCGAGACCTTTGCATTCTTGAATGCCTCTGCATCCCATTTGCTGAATTTGTACCGGAAGGAAGTCCAAAGGTCCGTATCTGTTATCCTTTCGATTGATCCGAAGAAGTCCTCGATGCATTCCCCGACCATTCTGACGCCGGCGGAATATTCGTAGTGCCCACCTTCCTCTCCGACAAAGAAACTGTCGTATATATTAAGGTTTTCCACGGATGCGGCTCTTTGTTGGTGGATCTGGGCATCCTTTTGATCGACCTGAGCATTGTTTAGTTCCTGGGCGGTCTCGGTGACTGGCACCGAGGGCTCGGGTTGTTGACTGATCTCTGTAGCTGGGTTTGCTGTAGATCCTTGAGGGTCTTGGGAACGGTGTTTTATTGGCTCCACAACTGTCGTGATTGTTGTAGAACTGGCTTGGTTCTAAGGTTTTGTTGTTCCATATTCGTCTACAGCTTCTATTTGAAATAGGGTGTAGCGCAGTCACTTCTCAACTGCGAACTTCGGTTATTTACACTCATTACTTGAAATAGGGTGCAACGCGGTCGATATAGCACTTCGGTAGGAACTTAGCTTATTTGTGATTAACGGTGAAGTCAATCACTGATCAGTGTTTGTTTGCCGGTAATAAACAAACTTTTGGCTCGTCGCTCGAAGATTCACAACCTGGCGCGTCTATCGGTGCTTCGCAGCAAGACCACATGAATCCACCCACCCAGTCCGGGTCATTGTTCAAGGACTCCATTCTCCCATGGCAACGCTCATCGTGGTCTGCCCAGAAATCACTGCAGCAATCAACAGTCTTTTCGCCTGCGAGCGAGTCAATTCAGGTCCAGACCAAATGTTCAAGATTTGGAGACGTAGTCATGCATAAAGCCACTTACCTCTGTGCCTCGTACATGATGTCTCGTCGTTCTCATTGATGTCGTATCGCTCGTTGCGATTGCAGCTGCTCCTCCGCCCTCCTCTTCGGTACCCTGGAGTGAATCCTCGGCTCTTGGGCTACTTCCGCATTCACAGATGCCTTATACTTCGTGGAAATACAACCTGGATAATCGCCTGGCTTCTCACAGCAAGTCCATATGAAGCCCTCGGCGTAGTCAGAATCATCCTTAAACGAAGCAGGATCGCCATGACAGTATCATTATGATCGGCCCAGACGTGACCTCTTAGCTCCAAGGATTTGTCAAATTCGACGTAATATTTACCTGTGTGCCACTGGCAATCGCCTTTCTTATTGACATCTACATCGAATTGTTCATCGCAATTCTTGCATGTCGCTTGCTTTGGAACGAACTCCTCGTCCCCAATAGATATCGGTCTCAGCCACTTCACTCTCTCTTCGTTCTTACCTCCACACTCACTTCCATCCTCTTCCTCTTCCTCTCCGCCATCCTTACTACTAGTTTCACCATTCACGTCTTCCTCTGAGTCAGTGTCGACATGGTACCGCGCGGCGTCTTTGCCCTGACCAGTGTGTACTACTCAAACGCCGGTCTCAGCTCTGGTATTTCCTGGCAAAACTGCTTGACGTATGCGCGAAGTCGCTTATCCATGTTGTCAATCGATTTTCTCAAAGCCGCAGAGACCACGGATGCAGGTGCAGGTCTGGCATTGGCACGGTGGCCGGCCGGGATGGGCGGTTGAAGCGCTACAGGTGGTCGAGGCGTGGCACCTAATATTCCGCCCTGTTCGGAAGCAGCTGGGCTTGAGGAGGTGAGGTCAACGACACCGGAACCCATTCTATGTCGCACTCCGTTGAGGTGGATGATTGGAATGACTTTTGAGTTGAAAGTCAAAATTCAACTTTAAAGTCGAAACGCCACCGTTCAATCATGTGCCGCTTTTTCGACGTGGCTGCTTCGACGTGGCTCATGGGAAGACTATTCTGGCGGTAGAAAAGGTGGTGCACAGTTCAGTTCATATATTTGATGAAATAATATAACTAATGAGATTGTAATAAGAGGCTCGGCACACCCGAGCAAATGCAAATAAAAGTTTTGTCACCGCTCATCCAGTTCTATGGACCCCACCTTTGTTCAAAAGATCAGCAACGACAGATAAGGCATTTTCATGGAGCTTTTGGGAGTATATATGTAAATATATACATTAAGATTGTTAGGCCTACACAGACCTACACTCATATTCCTCTGCTGTTGTCCTCTTCCTCCCTCCAGAACGAAACTACGCGAAGCTCGCCAAAACCCCCTACTACAGGTGCTGCTGGCCAGGCGACAGCTGAACGAGGCGTATCTCTTGTCGTACAGCAGCACTCTTATGGTGCAGCATCAACTGTTTATGGGTAATCCATGTGCTCTCATGCTTTGAGACTTCATCGATCATGCTAACGCTTTAAAGCTTGCTTGTCAAAGATTCTCGGGAGCATTTCCAAAAGTGTTCTCACCGTCTTTCTTCTTAGCCACGCTACCTCATCACATCCCTTTACGGCTGGGGATAGCCTAGGCGCCGTATCGAGTGAGAGCAGGATATGTAGTGAGATTGGTATCGGGATTTTAGAAAGAGGCGTAAGTGCTGGGAGACGTTCTGTATGAAAATGAGAGGCTGATCACGTGATAAGGGAAATGCTGCTGATGCTCTTGTCGGGACGACGTTATGTGTTGGGGTGATTGGTATGATCCCTTCGCACAGAATGTTTCAGAAATTTTGGTCTGATGAGTTTCAGGCATGCAACATAGTGGGATTGGTGGAGGTGGATTCATGCTTGTACGCGATTCGGATGGGAAATACGAGTCGATAGGTATAAACCCCTCTCTCCATCATTTCAATCCTTTACTGATGCAGAGTAGATTTCAGGGAAACGGCTCCTGCAACGGCTTTTACCGATATGTACAAAGATGACCCGATGGCAAGTGTGTTCAGTGGACTTGCAAGTGCTGTACCAGGGGACCTGCGGGGACTCGAGTACCTTCACAACAAATACGGGGTAGGCAAAAGCGTCATTATCCAGTAAGCAGCTTATTGAAAATAGTAAGGTACTACCGTGGAGAGCAGTTTGCAATCCAGCGGTTTATGTTGCTCGACATGGATTTCCAGGTAAGCGATTTTGTCAACATCCGGGCCTATGAGCTTACATTCTGCAGTATCGGAGGATTTAGTACGCTATATGGCTGCTGCAACAGAAGGTGGAAACAACTTCTTGACTGACGACCCCCAATGGGCTATGGACTTTGCTCCAAATGGTCAGTCAATCTAGGCTCTTCTCAGAGGCAACCGCTGACATTGACAGGAACACTCCTTGGTCTAGGTGATATCCTAACAAGAAAGAGATACGCAAAGTGAGAAGCTCCGTTCCAATTTCACATGAGATGTTCTAAAGCCCGCCAGCACACTCGAGACAATAGCCGAACACGGCGCAGACGCATTCTACACAGGAGAGATAGGTAGGTGTTCTCCCCCCACCCCCCAAACACTCGTTAATATTTCCAGCAAACCACACCATTAACGCTCTCCGCGCCTCAAACGGCACCATGACCCTTGAAGACCTCTCATCCTACAGCGTCTCCATCCGCGAACCCGTCAGCATAGTCTATAAAGGCTATAACCTGACCTCCTGTGGAGTCCCCAGCGGCGGTTCTGTCGCCCTCAGCATCCTCAAAATCATGGAAGGCTACGGCAACTCCTCTCCCGATGACCTAGATCTGAACACACACCGCATCAACGAAGCGATGCGCTTCTCCTACGCTGCGCGAGGCGAACTGGGAGATCCCGATTTCTTTGATTACATGACGGGTTTCGAAGCCGATATGCTGACGCCGAAGACCGCGGCGAAGATTCGTAGCAGGATTGATGACGAGAGGACGAAGAACGTCACGGATTATAGTATGAAGGGGGAGGGTGAGGCGTATGAAGGGCCGGAGAACCACGGGACGAGCCATATTGTTACCGTTGATGGGTCAGGGCTGACGATTACGCTTACGTCGACTGTGAACTTGCTCTTTGGATCGCAGCTTGTTGTGCCGGAGACCGGTATGTCCCTCTTTCCTCCCTAGCTCCTCCTAGTTCTCGATTTCCTCGTCTTGGGAATAATTAGGAATATAATCAATCATGTTGATGTTGAACACAGGCGTCATAATGAACAACGAGATGAATGACTTCTCAATCCCTGGCGTTCCGAACGCCTTTGGCGTATGTACAAGTCTCCTCCCTATCTCGTCCACATCTTAAATTAGCCTCGGAAAATCTCCTCACATCCTCACATCATCCCTTCAGAGCCGGAGAGATGATCTCAAACCCAACCCCCACACCCCCGACCACATCACAAAGAGAAACTTCCGTACTGACTAACCACCCCGGACCTCAGTTCGTCCCCTCCCCGATAAACTACATCTCGCCGCTGAAGCGGCCCCTCTCCTCCATCAGCCCCATAATCGCCACCCACCCGAACGGCACGCTCTACATCTCCATCGGCGCCGCCGGCGGCTCCCGCATCATCACCGCCACCACCCTCGCCCTGTGGCACGTCCTGGACCACGGCATGACGCTGCCGCAAGCGCTCGCCGCCCCGCGCCTGCACGACCAGCTGATGCCGGCCACCACGACGCTCGAGCCCGGCTTCGACAGCGAGGTTGAGAGCGGGCTGCGGGCGAGGGGCCACAACGTGACCTGCGTGCCGAACGGGTATTCCTCGGTGCAGGGCGTCCGGCGGCTGTGGAATGGGACGCTGGAGGCGGCGAGTGAGCCAAGGCAGGTGAATAGTGCGGGATTGGCGGTATAGAGCTTTGGAGGCATTTTGGGTCTGCTTGGATAACTAGATGGCGTATGCATAGTTGGTTGAATTATCGTTGACAGCCTAGAAGTTGAATGGCGCTTAGAGCGTTTCGGAATTCGCTTATGAAAAACAGTAAACATAGCAAGCGAGACTCGCGTGTTCTGAAACTTTCGTCCTTACGAGTGTGACTGAGGGTTATTTCTGTTACTTCCGCTTGATTTGATTGTGTCAAAGGTAGGCAACCTTCCTCTATCGCCCGATTTGGATGCTGAACGAGATGGTGGATAAGAGGGGTAGTGAATTACACAAGAAGAGGAGTTGCACGCTTTACATTGGCGCGGTCGTGGAGTCCCATGTCTGTTTACACCTGAAGCCGAATCATTCAAATACACAAGAAATAAAAAATGAGAAGGTGTCTTCCCGGGCAGTCGTTCTTCTAATGCCGGAGCCAAGTTGGATTTTCAAGATTTACTTCCGCGGACCTCTCTCGGTGGCCACCGGCTTCTTCACCTCTCTCCAATTCCCTCCTATTCTAGACTGCACCGCAGACATCTGGACACCTAGCCCTGCCCTCCACGGCCGCTTCGGCTCACAAGGCGCAACGGCCTTCGGAATAGGCATGAAGTTCTCCAATGCAAGAGCTTGCAGGTACGCCGACGCACTGCTACTAATCCAGTATATTAACAGCGCACTCGGGACATTAATCATCAGAGGTCCCACTACAAGGCAGACCAAGCCCAAAGACCGCTTCAATCTTACACTCCACGGTCTTTTCGACGTCGGCAGCCCAAAGATGTTCAGCAGCAGAGTCGCAGACAGTACGAACGGTAGCACGAGTTGCGGATCGCCAACCAGCAAATTCGGGAACCACAGCACGCCTTCCGTAGCCAGCGACATCTCAGTCGGGATACTGAGCGCTTGATCGACCAGCCCGTCGCCTGTGATAACGCCCGCGACGTTCTCGACGCCAGTCTCAACGACGTTGTTTTGATTCCCCATCAACATGCCCAGCACGCCTTCTCTCGACCCGCACATCTTGCGCAATGCTTCCATGACACTGAGGAAGACAGGCAGCTGTACCAGCATCAGGAAATTCTTCCACATCCCGCATCCGTGACGGGAGTATAGCTCGCTCCTCTTCGCTCTGACCTTTTTTATGTGAGTAGCGTGGGCAACTTTCGGGCCTAGATGACCCACTTCCCGCATCGTCTCGTGTTGTAGAGCATGGCGCCACGATTGAAGGAGCGGGAGCAGAGACGCTTGTTTTAGGATTGCGCGTCGCTGGTAGATGGAGATGGGTAGGATGATGGTGCATCGGAGGAGGAGGGCGAAGAGGGGGATGCTGTAGGCCCAGGGGAGGCCGGTGAGGGAGTGCAGGCCATCTAGAGCTGTATGCGAGGCATTGATTGCTGTGAGGAGGACATTTTGCGGTCTGGGTGAGGCGTGGAAGGTTCGTGAGCGGAGGCTTGAGGGGAGAAGCAGGACTTGGTGGAGGGCGGGTGGTCGAGGGAGCTTCGTTCGGTGGAGGAGGGACATGTTGGCTGCCCAGGCTCGTGCGATGGGAACGATTGAGTGTGGTATATCGTCAGGTGACTGACTCTTCAATGACAATGAATCCTCGACATGCTCAACGTGTTCAAACTTCAACGTGTTTCCAATGCGAATTGCGAATAGCGAATCGCGAGGTTGACGTCAAATTAAACCTCACGCACAACCACAAGCACAAGCCTTGGTCGGCTGATCTGTGGCCGATGCCGACGAGCTCCACTTGGGAAATCCGCCGACGTACCGTTGGTTCGGGCGCTCTGGACCTTTAGTATCGCCACTTCCTTTCTTTCTTACCAGAAATAATTCCAGGTTCAACCTTCAATCGACACGTTCAGTATGGCCGAATCACTCACTACGCCCGACATGTCCGCAAAGGGGAAGTTTGGGATTACTCCCGGTCAAAGCATACTCGCCATGTCGATTTTGGGATTCCTGCCGTTGTTCGCGATGTTCGCTGGTCCGAAGCTATTACATTGGGTCGGAGGTGTTATGGGGAGTTATTTGAAGAAGAAAACTGCAGGCAGGAAAGCACAGATATTGGAATTGGTGGAGAAAGATCAGAAGGAATGGGAGGAAACGGCGGCAAAGGACGAAGGACGGAGGGATAGCGATGAGTGGGAGACGGTGGATGCCTATGCCGTTGGAACGGCGAAGAATGGCCAGAAATTGGAAGATGCAGAATGGGACGGGATTGTGGGCTTCTTCCATCCCTTCTGGTGCGTATCTTCTACTGGAAATACTGAGCCATACTGATCCAAGTAGCAATGCTGGTGGTGGGGGTGAACGAGTTCTTTGGGCTGCAATCAGAGCCACGCAGAAACGCTGGCCGAAAGCAAAATGTGTTGTCTATACCGGCGACCACGATGTAGACAAGAATGCCATCATTGATCGAGTAAAGGTATGTATATCCCCCCCTCCCCCCCTCGAGGCAAACAAACGCTGACCTCCCAGAACCGCTTCAACATCGCCCTCCACCCTCCCACCGTAACCTTCCTCTACCTCTCTACCCGCTCCTGGGTTCTGGCCTCATCCTGGCCACATTTTACCCTCCTTGGACAATCCATCGGTTCTGTAGTCCTAGCCTGGGATGCCTTTTCCCTACTCCCTCCCGATATCTTCGTCGACACAATGGGCTACGCTTTCGCGCTTGCCTTTTGCAAAATCCTATTCCCCAAAGTGCCGACAGGCGCATATGTCCACTACCCTACCATCTCCACCGACATGCTGAGCTCCCTCGACCCAACATCTGCGACAGGCACGCAAGGTGTAAATGCTGGCAAAGGCCAAGGAACGGCAGGGCAATTGAAGAAGCTATACTGGGAGCTGTTCGCAAAGCTGTATTCCGTGGTCGGGACATCGATCGACGAGGTGATGACAAATTCCAGCTGGACACTAGGACATATTAACTCCCTCTGGGGCGATTGGCGCAAAGATTATCACAAGTCCAATCCGGCCGTCCTCTACCCACCGGTCGCCGTTGAGGAACTAGAGAAGGAAGTCGAGGTATCCAGTACCAGCGAAGCAAAGCGCGAGAACTTCTTGCTTTACATTGCACAGTTCCGCCCCGAGAAGAACCATAACCTGATAGTAGAGGCCTTTGCGAAATTTATCGCCACCAAGACGCCGGCCACGAAGGACGCGAAGCTGGTTCTGGTCGGCAGTGTACGGGACGATTCCGATTCGAAGCGAGTGTATAAGCTGAGGTTATTAGCCAATGAGCTGCAGATCAAGGACCGCGTAGAGTTCTACCTGGATGCTTCCTGGCCCGAGATCTTGGAGTGGCTGAGACGGGCCAGTGTCGGTGTCAACGGGATGTGGAACGAGCATTTCGGCATCGGAGTTGTGGAGTACCAAGCCGCGGGTCTAATCTCCGTCGTCCACGATAGCGGTGGACCGAAGCGAGATATCGTTACCCCTATCGAGGGGGAGCCAACAGGTTTGTCTACTTACCCACCTCCCTTCTTCCCCTTGAGTAAGCCAACTAAACAAAAACAGGTTTCCACGCCACGACATCAGACGAGTTTGCGGCCGCCTTTGAATCCGCACTGTCCTTTGAGGACAAACTATCCATGCGTCTCCGGGCGCGGCAATCAGCGAAGCGGTTCACGGAGGAGGAGTTCGTGAAGGGATGGATTGCGGTAATGGAGAAGCTGGTCGATTTGCGGATACGGCTGGCGAAGACGAAGGCGAAGGCGAAGCAGTCGTAGGTTTAGGGTTTGCTGTTGGAATTTAATAGATTTAATACCCTGCGGCAATGCCTAGCTTCTTCATATACCTACCTACCACTCTCATACTGCCTCTCTCGACGCTCCCATTGGGTTGGTTTGTGATTCAGGTACTAGTAGTAAGCTACCACCTCGCTGATCCAGTACGTACCCTTCTCCCATCGCTGATCCAGCAATGAAGAAATCACACCAAGTATCCGTCAGAACACGAGCTACGTTAAGTAGTAACTATAGAGACTGAAAGACGACCGGCATCCCGTTTTCGTATCGTATCATCGTGAATGATATTCATACATGCATACATGCATGCATTCATTGTATTGTATTGCATTGGTTCACTAAAGTCCCCCTTTTTTTCCTTTTTTTCTTTTTTTCCTCTTTTCCTCTTTTCCTCTTTTTCCTCTTTTTCCTCTTTTTCCTCTTTTTCCTCCTTTTTTTCCTCTTTTTTTTCCCTTCCTTTCTCGAATCTAAATCTAAATCTATACCTGGATCTACATCGAAAAATAAAACGAACGCATCGATGAACCGAGATGAAATCAAGTGAAATGAAATGAAAAGAGATGAATGCTCCGCGCCGCAAGCCGCAAGCCGCGACGAGAAAACACCCATCGTAGAAATGAAAATGTCCATATACACACACATGCACACACATATATACACAAGCATAACCAAGCACTCCCAAGCAAAAGCAAGCAAAAGCAAGCAAAAGCAAGCAATAAGCGAATCTCCATCTCCATCTCTACCGATGACAAGAAAAGAAAAGGAAAGGAAAGGAAAGGAAAGGAAAGGAAAGGAAAGGAAAATCAACTCCCACACCTTCAAGCCAAAAAAAAAATAAAAAATCCGAATCCAAAATCGGAAAGAACGAACGAACGAGCGAGCGAGCGAGCAGAACAAAAAAAAAACCTTGATGAGATGGGTTGCGAGATTTCTTTCAAAGTCGTACCTATTTATTATATAGCCAGATTCACAGCTGTGTATATATATATATATGATATATATATATATGCTTAGGCTGTCTGCCTGCATTGGCCTTGCCTACTATTATCATATCCTCCTTCCCTTCCTTCCCTTCCTTTCTTTCCCTCATCGTAATCATCATCATCCCTTCTCTCCCTGCTTGGCGCTCCCATATCCCCTTCCGCTTATTTGATATCGATTTGATACCTGATAAAGACACTTCGACTCCGGATTTAGAGCTCTCTCCGCCCTTGGCTGCTCTGCTTATACTATGCTACAATTGCTTTCCTCCCTGCCTGCCAACAATGCCATGCTCGCTCTGATGCGTATCTGTTCGATCATCTGTTGCTTGCTCCTACCCTGTCTTGCCCTGTCCGTTTCATGTACCCCGCGACCACGCTGCAAATAAAACATGATATCCTAACATCGTAGCTTCTTTCCTGTCCTGTTTTTCAGAGCGGATCCGCGTCCCGTTCGTTTATGCCTCTGCCACAACCTTTAGCCCCATGTCCGTTCCCTAGCCCTCCTCTTATGCATCGACTACTTCAGTCAGACCGACGCAACTTCATTAAATCAAAAGAAACCCGCCCAATGCAGTCTTTGGTGGTGTTGAGAGATGAAGGACAAAGGAAATGAGAATTTCACCCGTCCATGACAACTTTCTTCGCAGTCTCTGTGCTGCCTATACTGCCATTCGTGCCTCTCCTCTCCAACTTCCCCGGCTCCATCTCCGCGGCAGCCGAGTCGGTGGGTCTTGATTTCGGCTTCCTCTTCATCATCGTGAGGCCTTCGTCACTATCGGAATCATCGTCGTCCGCAGTAAAAGTCGTGTCCCCATCCCCAATGTACCCATCGTCGTCTTCGTCGGGCGAGAGGATGATGGTGTCGTCGGCTGGCATATCGGTAGGAGTATCGACGTCCAGGGTGGGTTCCTTGGAGAGGGATGGTGGCGTGTGAGCTTGGGGGGTATTGTCATCTGTGGTACCGTGTTCCGGATAAACTTGGACACGGCCGGGACGTTGAAGCATCTCGCCTTCCGGGTCTGCCGAGACGGATGATGCCCCTGAGATGAGGGCGGGTAGCGAGGGGACTGAGTAAAACTGCTCTTGCGAACCCATGTTGACAGACGATATTGGCGAGGCAGCGTTCGATGGAGAAGTCATCTGAGACCTCATGCTGGTAGAGTTGACGGAGCTGGACGACTGAGCGCGGCGAGCTTCCTGCTTCTGGTGAAAGATGTCGTCATCCGGTGATAGTGGACACTCCGCAGCCAGGCCTTTGTCCCGTGCAGAAACAGCCAGCTGTTGTCTCTTCCGATCGGTATACTCCTCCATCTTTCTTCGCCGTGCCAAGGTTTCTTGTGCGCGTTGAAATGATTCCGGGGTGCTTGCTCCGTAGACTCGAGGTGCTGGTGTCTTGCCGCCCGAGTAGAAAGTGCGATTGGCCGTTGAAGGGCGCTGGTCGAGGTTCGAGGCAGCCAGCGTGCTGAGAGGCACGTTGGGAGTCGATGCCGATTGGTGATGGGCGGCGGGCATATAGGGCTGGAACAATTGAGTAGATGCCAAAGGATGGTCGCAATATGTAGATGATGCGTCGTTCGATCGAGATAATGGTCGTGGATGATAAAGCTTCGGGTGTTGGAAGAGACCTGGTGCCGTTGCTGTGCTGGTACCAACGATTGGTTCCGCGTGCTTGTTCTGGGACTCGAACAAATTGCGGTCGACGGATCTTGCTCGAGAAGGACCCTCGGCAACGTCGCCAAATTCCCGGCTGCTTCCACCACTCCATAACGGACCGCCCAAGACGGCACCCATGTGATCTGTAAACGGGCCCGGAGGGTGGGTTCCTTCCTCGTGGAATGGACTTGCGAGTAGAGAGTTCGTGGATCGAGAGTGTGAGTGCCCACGTGGAATGACTGTCTGAATGGACGCCGCTGTCGATTCGGAGCGGTCCGGGTGACCTGGTCTGGCATCCGACCTCCCTGACGGCGAGTGCTCATAGGAGGGTGTGGCTCCTATAGAGGCAGACGGCTTTGTAAAGTCGAGTCCGAAAGGATCATCTTGATAGACGGAGAGATCCGGACTGGCGGTCAAGCTTTGCGCGAGTGGGTGCTCAGTTGCTTCTCGGCGGTGGTATTCTTGAAGCTCTGTCAGTGATGCGAAGCAGTACTCGTCGCCTCGGAGGCTGGCTCGTCTAGTTTCCCGGAGAGCAGGGGTTAGATTCAGAGGGGAATTATGTTGGGAGTCTGGCCCTGAGCTGGTAGCATTGCTTACGGCTCTCCGGCGCGATCCTTCGCCTCTCGTCTCGCTCCTGGTAGCACCGATAACCTTGTTGACCGTCTTCTTCAGTGCTGATCTGGCTCGCTCCAGGAAGGTGATCGGCACGACGGCACGTTCCAGTTCGTTTCTGTCGACTTGAATCCTCTGGCCATCTGTCCTCCGCGATGGATCGGTTTCGTCAACCCAGCCAATCTTGTCCGCAATGCCGCGCATCACCCAAGGATGCCGCTTCACCTCCCTCAGTCTAATTCGCTCCGCAGGATCCTTGATCAGCATCCTCTTGATCAGATCGTGTAGCTCATCATCGATATCCTCGAAAGCGAGTTCCCCTTCCTCTCTGTAAGGACCTGTAGACGGACCAGTATGTTTCTCAGCCCCCATCGGGGGCGTTGGGGCATTGGGGTCGACCGCCTTCAGGCGTTTTTTCGGAATGTATACATCTCTTTTGGCGATGTTCTTGAACAGTTGGTATTCGTCGTCGCCGAGGAAGGGAATTCGAGCGAAGATGAGGCAGTAGAGGGTGATTCCGAGAGACCAGACATCGATCTGTTCTGTCACCCTGGGCTGCTCGATATCGAGGTCTGTGTAACAGAGCTCGGGGGCAAAAAAGGCGGGCGTTCCAACCGTCTTGGCAAGTTCGAGATCATCATCAAAGTCCGTCGCATCAGCTTCCGAGATATTCTCCTCCGTCTCGCCTTCTCGAATCGGTCTTCCAAAGTAGGAGACCCCGAAGTCGGAGATCTTGACTCGGTGGTCTTTGGTCCATAGGAGGTTTGCTGGCTTGATGTCTCGGTGGACAACTCCTTCGTAGTGCAGATATTCTAGGCCCAGGACCGTGTCTCGGAAAGCAGATCGCGCCTGATCAATAGTGAAGCATGGGACATAGGAGAAGTCGTCTTCGAAGGCATCGTGCTCATTCCCGTCCATGGAAGACATGTGGGAGATGATACTGTCAGCCATACTCGGAGATCGGCCTCGATATGTGGGATCCTCAGGGTACGAGCCATAGTAAGTAGCTTCGAGGGCGGACGATGAGCCGTGGTTAGAGCCAGCGGATAGGGGGGCTGGCTCATCGTTCTCGTTGTCACTGTCAAGAGCACCAATATCGAACTCGGTAGGGAGCGGGGTATGGGCGCGAGAGCTGGTGCGTGAGGGCGCGCGAGAAGCTGTTCTAGAGTGAGCCCTGGAGCCCGGATTGGATGGCAAGATGGAGCCATGGCGAGAGAGACTTGATGCAGAACCATATACATTCTCTCTCGACATAGATCTCTCCAATTCTTCATCGTGGCCATGTTCTAAACTCCAGTAATCTGGGTGGTGTTGTAGGAAGAGCCTTTCTCGTTGAGCATCTCTGCGCTGCCGCCGCCTTTCCAAGAGCTTGCCAAACTTCTCATCGGCCCCCAGGCCATTCTCGCTTCTACCCTCTCTCTCGATCCGACGTCTTTCGTATAGACATATATTCTTGTCGCCCTTCTTGCGCCATACAATCTCTCCAAGCTCGACATGTTCCAGGACCATGTATATCTTCTTCAGCTCGGGATCATCGATGATTTCCAGCAGGCCCACGACGTTAGCATGGCGAATCTTCTTCAGGATCGCGATCTCCTTCTTCGTCTTGTCCTCGGGCGACACTGTGACTCGTCCCAACTTGCGCTTCTTGGAGAAGCGCTGTATGATCTTGATAGCGACATAGCCTCCCGTCTCGAGATTCCTCGCCAATTTGACCTTTCCATGGACACCTCTGCCAATCTCGTTGATGATCTCGTACTGGTTGATCAGTTTGCGGCCGGTTATGAAGTCCTGTTCGACTTGGGCTTTGTGAGTCCTACAACACGCAGGTTAGCCTAGACTAGGTGCTGACCTTGTGACATTTCCAGATGGTTTCTGGTTCGGTTCGCGACCCAAACCACCGGGGCACTGGAAGGCTGGTTTTGCGAAGCTAGCAGCCCATTGACCCGAGCCCAAGTCGCACACCCTTCGCCGCTATGGGTTCGAGGTACACCGAGCCTTGACCCTCGACCAAATTTCAGGCGGAAGGCGGGGGACGTGAGAAGCGGAAAGAAAGCCACGAACTCACTCTCGAACTTTATGCATCTGCAACGGGTGCAGGTATGGACTCGGATGCGGCGTGTCATCTGGGAGGGAAGGTAGGTAGGTCTTGATCGGATGGAGAGAGGGGGAGAAGAGGCCCGGGCTCGACGAGGGCGTGCTCGCGGGCGTCTTGGACTTCGTAGCGACGGTAAGATCCATTGTTGAGGGGCAGCCAGCGTGCGAATCGTGACATGTTTGGTGAAATGGCGTCGGGGAGGTTGGCGCGGGTTGCTGATCAGCAAGCGGAGAGCATATTTTGTTTTGTTTTGTTTTTGGTTTTAGTTTTGGTTTTGGTTTTGGTCTTGGTCTTGGTCTTGGTCTTGGGTTATGGTTTTGATTTTTCGTAGTGGTCGTCGGTGTTAAGTGAGGCCGGGGCAGCGGCGGGGGGTGGTGGGTTGGTGGGTTGGTGGAGGGGGAGGAGGGGGAGAAAGCGAGTGAGAGGCGGAGGGAGGGAGAGAGAGGAGGGGAGGGGAGGGGGAGGGGAGGTGAGATGAGGAGAGGAGCGGAAGGTCGGTCGAAGTGAGGTTATGAGGTGAGGTGAGGCGAAAGGAAGTGAGGTGAGGTTGAGGTGAGAGTGAGATGAGTGAGGTGAGTTGAGGTGAGTTAGGTGAGTGGAAAAACGAAATGGTTGTTGTTGGGAGCAGAATGGCAGAATGGTGGTGAATGAGAATGAGCGACGACTTGCGTGGTACTGTACCGTACCGGTAGTAGTGGGGGAGGCTAGTTCAGAGACGGAGAGGACCAGGGAAGGGCAACTCTGGGCACTGAGCACTGGGCACTGGGCACTGGGCACTGGGCACTGGGCAAGTATGGGTAACCTGAACCTTGCAGTAAGTGCCCAGTACACTACAGTAAGTAATCAGTAACCAGGGACAGATGCAGGTGAAGGGGCAGGGTGAATCAGTCGAGCCGATCCAGTGACGGATTGAATGATTGATGGTCGAACTGGGAGGTGGATTTATGTATGTGTATGTATGTATGTGTATGTAAATACATCCATTATAGCTATATATATATATCGATATATCGATACAATACATATACCCAGACAGGAGACGAGGGGGACAATAAGAGATGGTGATGAGTCAGCACGCAGACAAGGAAAAGGCAGTGAGTGAGATTAGATTTGCGACTAGTACTATTTGGTATGGCGGGGCCATCGTCTCAAGTGGCAACTTGCAAGAAACTAGAAACTACACTAAAAGGTACAACGATGTTGTGGAAGAGCCTTAGACTGATTACTCCATCGGAAACCAAAGAACAAAGATATACCGAGCAATAATCATCGCAACTTAATTAATAGGTAGGGCTAGACTGTAATACTATAGTAAATATATATGATCGCCAGTGCACTGCAGCCCCATCCCCGCCCCTTTCACATTTCGAAGTAATGCAAGTCGTGGCGTCCTCGCTATACCAAACTTTTCTCTCTAGGATCTTCAAGAATATTCCAGTTCGTCCACTCGACCCGTTCGCCTGCATATTCCTTCAGGCTCGATTCTGTTTCCCAGCATTGAGCCTCTAGATCTAACTCATTGTCGTTTATCGTTTCAGATGGAATGACCATGAGCAGCTTATCAGGGTCTTCCTGCACATACGAAAAGCGCAATGCCTTTCGCGGGTTATCTACCATTGACTCGAGGTACTCCGAGATGGCTTCTTCGGTGCCAGCCCATAAATCCTTCTTTTCTTTTACTTCGGGATTCCAAGTGACTTCCTCGTAAGATTCGGGGATCCATACTTTGGTCACGGCATCCATCTTTGCACTATCCGCCTCGACAACACAATACCATTCATCTTCCTCAGCTGGCCATCCAGCCGGTTCGTTTACTATTCAAATGATCAGCTCCGCGTCGTCAGTGACGATCCATAAATGTAAATCGACTCACTCAGGCTATAGCCTTCTCCTAATTGACTAAACATTCGAGCTGCGACATCGAATTCCTCATCTCTGAAAGGCCTATGATTTTGATTGATATAATTGGCTTCGTCCTAGAATTCGCCTAATTAAACATAAGGTTATACTATCTGAATCAAGTGAAACTTACCTCGGCAACTGTTCGAAAGCCGATTATTTCTCTTCCTGGGGGAATTCCGAGAGCTCTACTGAAAAGTAAGTACCAGGGTAGCAAGATGGAGCAGATCGTAGATCGTGATAGCAGCATTATGTCCGTAAAGCATGCAAAGCCCAAGCCAAAAAAAAAAAACAGGAAATGAAATGAATTCCAGGTCGGCGCAAGAAGACAGATATAACTCGCTTTCATAATGTATGTCTTTGACCCCAGATACGAAATCGAATTTATGCTGAGCTAACTATTCATAGTATTGCAATCTTCTTTTCTGATCTAAGGAGATCAACGTAGAGTACCTGTTCCTACGGGGAAAGAATCAAATTACTACTAGCAGCTGGATGTAGGGCAAAGACAGCGAGCCTGGCCTGTACGCTAGGTAGAGATCCATCGTACTATTAAAGTCTATTATTTGGAAATTGCCCAGTTTCGTCATCCTACATAGTCTTTTTGCGAGGCGAGATAGCCGAGAGTGGCTCTGATGCCTTATTTATTAATAGCCTACGTACTTCTACCCTCATCTTCCCTGTTCAGCTTAGTCGTTGTTTATTACGGATTGTTATTATTGTAATAATTGTTGTCATAATTTTCATTATTACTGTCATCACCCACCTAGGCTGGCGTGGCAGAGGCGGATTCCAAGCTGTACTCCGTAGTTTCGGGTGGGAAGGATGAGCGAGCGAGCGAGCCAGCCGCGCCTGGAGCCACAACAGATCATGAGAGGGTGTGGAGGTGAAGGCGAAGATCGACAACCATGGAAAGAGATACATGCCACCACCTCCGTACCTCCAGAGGGTCATGCACGTATATGACTGTACAGTCCAGGACAGTGGCGGCGATCATGATGCGCGAAAGCTTCCTACGTACGTTCGTCCTCTCATTTGGCTTCGTTTCATCATTTTAGACGCGGTTCCTTTTATGCCACCAAGATACTAGGTGGTCCTGTAGCTACGAACGGAGTATATCCAAGTCGGATGTCAGACCTCCCCCACAATACTATCCCAGAGTCTCTCTCTCGTTCTCTCTGTCTCTCTCTCTCTCTCTCTCTCTCTCTCCTGCCAAAATGCACTTCCTCGTCTTCCTTCCTATTCTTCCATCCACCAAACCGAATGCAAATCCTCCCCCGCCCCAACCCGTCCCATCCCGTCCCCTCCCTTCCAAATAGCCGCCGTACGCGACTGGAGGACCAAAAAAAAACACAGCCGGGGCTGGCTAGCATGCGCGATGAAATAATGACATCGGCCTCGTGCATACAGCTTGGTCAGTGGGTGCCATCGCCCTACGGAGGTTGCTCCAGACAAAGCCAGGGACCAGCTTTAACAAGTCGATGCGGACTGACCTTACCATCTAGATCTCTACAGTATTTACCGGTCAAGCGAGAAGCCCGATCTACATTAGTGCAATATATTGCATTGCATACTGGCTGAGTCTCGGTCTCGGTATACCCAGCAACGGTTCGTACGTACTGTACTAGCTACCACGGCACGTTTTCCTTCCTCCTGCTCCTACCGTAGGGACCTTGTTCCTTTTACCAGCCTGCCTGCCTGCCTGCCTGCCTCCCCTTACCTCGTTTCTGCAGAGGGGGACAAGCCTAACTCGTCGCCAGCCATAGTCGGCCAGTCAGCATGCGAGCATGCAGCCACAACCCTCATTCCGTTGGGCTCATCAATCAGGTGGGCCGTCCATCCATCCATCCATCCATCCATCCATCCATCCATCCATCTTGTCTTGACTCTTGACTCTTGACTCTTGACATCCCCTCGCAAACATAGCCCGTTCCTGAACGTTTTTCTGGCGGCTGTCAGTGCTGTCTATACTTTCATTCAGTCCGCTTCTGATCCATCATTCTCCCAACCGAGCTGCCAAGCAAATACAACCCGTACCACAGCGCACACAACCGCCACGACCCAGAACTCCCCACCCCATCAGAATCGCAAATCCAGAACACCCAACGTCGATCTCCCTACACACGGAGTAGGTACAAGCACCTTCTTTTTCCTCGACCTCCACCTCGACCTCCACCTCTACCTCCACCTCCACCCCAGTCTCGGGCTCTTGGGCTCTTATGTACGGAGCACATAACCGGGCACGTATGTACTACCTACTGTACGTACGTACAGTAATCAGCCGTCTCGTCTCCAGGAGGCAATGCGGAGACGAGAAGCCAGTACAGTACAGTAGTGGCTGCACGTCTCTCCTCCATGCATGCGATATATCATATTGGAAATTTTCCCCGCCTTCCTTCCTTTCTCCTTTTCCTACTACTGTACAGTATGCTGTCGACCTCGCTGGCGCCGACGAGCTGAACCTTACGAAAGCTAGTGGGTCTTTCCGCAGAGCGAAATGGTACGATGATACTGGTACTACTGTATTATATACTACTACCACTCCCCCCTCCCCCTCCCCCCGGATTGCTACAGCCTGAGGGTGCCTCGAAAGTTTAAATTTCCACTTTAAAGCCCCTGGTTAACCTACCTTCAACCCTCAAGGGTGTAACAATTACAAGTACGCCTGCGAAGTACAAGTACCAAGTACGTAGTAGTACGTAGTAGATGGGCAGCATTGCATATATGATATATATTCCGCCTCTCCACCTCTCGCTGACGAACAGCGGGATCACGCTTTCAAATCAAGGCTTGACGAGACACCGCACGATCGATTTGCGAACGAGGGAGTCTTGTTAATTTTTTTTATCTTATTTTATTTCTCTTTTTTTTTATTTTTTTTCCTTTTTTAGTATGTATATATATATATATACATTTAATTTTATTTGGTTTGGTTTTATATTCATCTTTTGTTCCAGTACAGCCTGTCACTACTGTACGGGATTGATTTTAGCCAGGTCCCAGCTCCACCGACGCAGGAGAATCGGGCCACACATGCATGCACTACCGATATATGCATGCACTAAATGCTGCATATATGCGGTCCACTCCAATCCAATCAAGCAGCAAGCACCCTGCAGCCGCAAGACTTTCTTATCTCTTCCCTCCCCCCTCCTGCCTCCTCCACTCTTTCTCCAAAGCGGCAAGATTCAAGATTCAAGACTTGAGAATTTCAGAAGACATCTCCTCATAACTCCAACCCCCTTACGAAAAAAGGATACTTCTGCTACAGGAATCAGACAGAATTCCACACCGTCACTTACTCCGTGTAATAGTCTGTGTACGCGGTACTGCTGTACCTACCTACCTTACCCTGCCACGTCTCATAGCGCACAGCACATACCTACATACTAGTACTACTAGACATTAGTACATACATACAACCTAGGTAGGTACCTACCTATGCATGCACGCATGCAAGTAACGGATCGTCCCGCTCTTTATCACCTTATCCATCTCCCCCTCGCCATCCTTATCGTCGTCGTCGTCTGAAAAGGGTATTTTCCCCCGTCTCCCTCTCACCCCTTGATTTATTCCGGATGTACTTGTAATAATATAATCCCTCTTTTCTCCCCCTTTCCTGTCCTTTCCTTTCCGGGGGGTTTTTTTTTTTTTCGTCTTGGCTTTCTCGTTTTCAGATTTACATGTTCGAAGATAAAAGTCGGGTACAGTCGATTAGAGCTGGAGGAGGCAGAACTGTAGGTGGAAACCTGATCGGTACTCGGATATTCATAAATGCACCAGAAAAAAATAATGATGATGATGAGGAGGAGGAGGAGGAGGAGGATGAGGATGATGATGATGAGGATGGCGTATTACATACAGTATACCATTCATCGTCAACCAAAACTTCTACCGTACACTAATCGTGTCCCCGGTCGGAGGACCAGGCAGAGGCAGGAATGCCGTTCCTACGTAATACTACTCTTCAGCGACACGGTCAACCTTCTTTTCGAGTCGAGATGTTTTTCTTCTCTACGCGATCGAGTAGCACGGCAGAGGCCTAATAAGTATCACCCCTCGAGGGTGCCTCAGAAGTCCAGTCTCCACTTTACAAACCCCTGGTTATCCATCCCATCCCATCCTCGAAGGGTAACCCTCACGCCAGTCGGCCAATCCTTTCGAATTACTACTACATTTTCAGGGAAACCGACGATTACCGGTACTTCGATAGAACGAGCCGCTTTAACTAACTCTTAGCGAGAGGGGAGAGAGGATGGGAAACGCTCAGAAGAAGAAGAAGAAAAAAAGAAAAAAAAAAAGAAGAGGGACATTGCGAAAAAAAGGGTGTGTGAAAGAAGCGAGGTTCTTTCTTTCTGCTGCAATTATTGACGATTGGAAAAGACAGGACGGATGCAGATAGGTTCGCACGAGAGCAAGAAGGAGAAAGGGTAGCGGCGGCGCTATGGACAGCTGGGAAGGATAGCTTGGGTAAAGGTAGGTAGGCGGCGGGCTGTGGGGAAGTTTGGGAGTGGGAAGTACTGTAGGATCTTGGGGAAGGCAAGGGTGTGTGTGTTGGCTGGCTGCTCGGAGAAGGGGATTAATTGAGTTTTACAAATGAGGACGAGTTCAGCTTGCAGTTACGGAAATATACATGTATATATATGTATATATATATAAAATATTGGTTGGCTTTGCGCCCGAATGTTTAAATCTTCAATCAAACCTCCCCCTCCCCCCCTCCCTTCCTTTGATAGAGCACTCGCTGCATTCGAAAGACGCTCGCTCAACGCGCGAAAGTCACCTCTTTAAATTGATTACCTTACAAGGTTATAATATACCTAGCATCTAAATTTGAAAAGAGAGAGAGAGAGAAACAAGTTTCTACATCGATTCTCCCAACCTCGATCTCTCAACCAAGACTAGCAGCTCGCAGGTGCAATATCTAGGTAGCTAGCTGAATCAGAACGCATTCCGCGAAATCGAGCTTCACTTAAAAAGGTGGTCTGTCTGTCTGTCTGCAAGACAGCTCGGAGGTATACCTAGTCAAGATGGAAGGAAGGTTAGTTATTAGGTAATTGTATTTGAAAGAATGCCGACTTGGCTTAGAGATGATGATGGTTACCTATTGAAATAGGTTGCGTTGTGCCAATTTTTTTTAAAAAAATATATATATATAAGTACCTATGTATATAAAATGCTAGTATTTTTGGTATCTTTGACTATTGGATGTGGGAGGACACTTTCCTTGACTTGGGACACCGGCTTATATCCCGACTGTGACCCGAGCGCCCGCGAGTGGAAAGGAAGTCAGCGCGCTGATAATTACGTGTAATTCTGTATCGCAGTAAAGTCATCTACTCATTCCTGGAGAAGAAAAAAAGTTAGGTGTGAGAGAGGAAGAGGAGTACCTTCCTACTACTCTACACTAGGAACCGCAAACCCTTTCCTTGCCTCTCTGCCTGCTGCCTCTACTGTACCTCTCTTCCATCTTCTCAACATTATACTCCTCCCGGACCCCGCCCCCCCCCCTTCTCCCTAAAGAAACGATTATCCAAAGCAAGATAAGTAAACCAACCAACCTCTCTGATTCTCTACTCCTCTAATTCTCTGATTCTCATCCATCCTTCCATCCCCCTCCCCCCCCAAGCCAAGAAAAATTTAAAAATTTCATATAATAATCAGTGCACTGACTTTGTGACCTGCGGGCTCTCGGTCACAGTCAAGGCAAGCAAGTGTCCCATTTCAATAATTTCAACTTGGTTTAGGAATAACCTAATAACGAATAAAGCTATAATATTAAAAATTTGATACTTTCTAAGAGCTCGATTCCGCCGATTAATGCACTCAAATTTTATCAATATAGCTCTTTTTATTATTATCAAGTAATTCAAGTCGCAAATCGGAAAAAAAAAAAAGATTTTTAATTCTTTATCGAAAAAAATCGAAAATCGCGATTTGTATTAAAGATAAGTCAATAACAAAAAAAGCTATAATAATAAAAATTAAATATAAGAATCGAAATAAGTGAATTACACTCTATTTATAAAACATATTATATATTTTTATTATCAAAATAAGTAAAATAATATTTATTACGCAAAATCACAATTGGAACAGCGAAAAAAGCTCGGACAATTTTAGCGAAAATTCAAGAAACATCAACTTTTCGATTATATTTATAACTTAGATAAAATAATAATTATAAAAGTTATAATAAAAAAAAAACAAAGAGTACGAGTCCGCTTGATTAAGAGTTCTTTTAAATATTAAATTTTTATATTAAAACTCAGTTCAAAAGACGATTAATTATTAACAAATATAAAATTTTTGATACAAAATATTTGATTTTCAATCAAATTCAATCGATAATCAAACATTATCTATTTGATTAATTATTAAATTGTTAATAAAAAAGATTCTATACTTGGTGAGACTTTTAAAGATCTCGATTACGCCGATCTATGCATCTAGTTTGGAATATTATAGCAATATTCGTTGCTAAGTTATTGCAATATAAGTTGAAATAATTGAAATGGGACACTTGCTTGACCTGGGACACTTGCTTGCCCTGACTTTTTTTGTGACCGAGAGCCCGCAGGTCACAAAGTCAGTGAGTGCACTGACTATTATATTTTTTTTTACCAAAAAAAATATTTATTAAAAATCTTTCCGGGGAAAAAGCGAGAATTGACAAAAGCGCAAGAGAAGAAAATTAGAAAGAAAAGTAGAGAGAAAATCAAAGAGAGATAAAAAATAAAAAAATTAAAAAATAAAAAAATAAAAAAAAAAAATAAACAAAAGGGAGAGAGAGAGATAAAAGCTTTTTCGTTATCATTATTACTCTGTAAGTGTTAAGAGTCTGTCGGTCGCTCAGTGAGTCAGTCAGGGAGTCGGTCAGTGAGTCGGTCAGTCGGTCAGGGAGTCGGTCAGTGAGTCGGTCAGTGGTAGCTGAATAAAGTTTATAGTTCATGTACCTATGCCAACCAGATGCATGCCGATTTCCCGAGATCGTTACTTACCACGCAGCGTTCTCATCTCCGTCAAGTCAAATCTGTCCTCGCTCATCGGGATCCGAGTTCCGGGGAGCAGCGCAACCAATACCACCCCCCGACGGCAGAAGTTTACAAATCTCGTACCGAGAGGAGAGAAACAACGGCAAGTGGGTTTGTCTGTATTGTGTTCTATTTATCGCACCTATCTAGTCCCTCGTCGCCAGAGCCATTGAAAACAAACCAGCGACGATCACCAAACAAGTGTCATGTCTTGCTTGGACCTTAAGCTACCACCCCGAATTCTCCGGCCAGATTACTCTCCGTCCATTATCGAATTATCTCGCCGCGTTCAATGCACCATTTTCGTCAATCAGAGAAGAGAAAAAGGGTAGGCCCCATTTGGGAAAATATGAACACGAGAAGTGAAAGTCAAAGGGGTATTGTTCGCTTGCCATCCCATCCATCCCAACCAATTACACATCATCTGCCGGTATTCTTTTGTGGGCATCCACCCGTCCTTTTGGTCTCCGATGCACCAGACGAGAAGGAAATCTTGGGTATGCGCAGGATGATTGGAGGGTGTTTACAAGATGATGGCGGCAAAACCGGCGGCGGCCGCGAGACCTGCGAAGGCGGTTTGACGAGCTCCCCCAGCGGAGGAGGTCGTTGTGCTCACCGGGCTGGCAGCGGAGCTGAGCCGGCTGGAAAGGCTGCTCACAGCCGCAGAAGCAGAGCTCGTGATAACGGAGGCTTCGGACGCAATAGAACTCGAGAGACTATCCAGAGCAGAGGAAGCAGATGCAGTGGGAGTACTGATAACACCAGCAACGCCAAAGATAGTGGTCGAGCCGACGGTAGTTGGGTAGCTCGTGTCTCCGGAGGTGACGGTGGAAACAATTGGCGAAGTGGTGATCGCAGAAGATGATCCGGCAGCAGGTCCGTAGATTGTGGTCGATCCGACGATGGTCGAGACGGTGGAATCGCCGGAGATAACGTAGCTGGTGAATTCGGAGGTAGTGATTGCCGATAAAGATCCAGCCTATTTCTTATCAGCAAACGTGCCTCATTCTCTCGGGCACTGGTAACTTACAGAGGCGCCGTCAGTAGCAATTGGGGTGCTGGCAACGACCGCGGTAGCAGGGCCAACTGGGAAAAGGTTAGTATCCATCTCCATTTGCTTCATCGGATTTACTCACGACCAGGGTCGATTCCAGTGGCGGATCCACTCAGGCCAACACCAGCGGCTATAAATAAGCCCATTAGCCATATATCCAAGAAGACACAAGCATATAGCCAAGGCTTGGCTTATCGCCTTGAGAAGGTGGGGGGGTCCGTCCTTACACGAGCAGTATTCAACACCATATGCGATAACAGGACCGGCAGCCTCAGCACCGCACGCCGCGTTGGAGCAGTCGCGGATTCCGTAGGCGAAGTTGACGTCACTGCAGAGGCAGCTGGCGTCATTGGCAGTGCATCCGAAGGTTGGGGCGAGGGCGAGCATGTTGGAGATGCATGTTTGCTATAGAGAGTCAGTCGCAGTTTTGGTGGAATTTTTGGTTGGGTTTGCGCCAAAAGGCAAACAGAGGTGTGGGCACGCGCGACTGCACACTCGCGCACAGCAGATGAATTGAAGCAATCTGCTTGGGGCCAAGCGCGCCACGACGACTGCGAGGTTTTTCGTACGGAGAGGCGTGTATAGAGAGACGCGTATAGAGAGGCGCACAAGGGAAACTTACACCACAGGCAGGGAGAGAGCTGAGCTGGGCAACAGCCATCATGGCGAAAGCGCCGAGGGTGATCATGGAGTACTTCATCTTGACGATTGAGTAGGAATTAAGTAGGATTGAGTAGGATTGAGAGGGTATCGTGAGGATGGGAGTGAAGAGATGTTTGAGGGGATGTGAGGTGCAGGTGGGAACGAAGGGATGGGAAATTTAAGGGTGTGTGGGAGAGGTTGTTGTTCAAGTAGGAAGGATGGGGAGTGGGAATGATGGGAAAGATGGGAATGGGAAGTTGTGGGGGGCTGGGGTTGAACGACGCTAGTGACGGACGGAACTTGCTTTTCGATTTCGCTTTCACTTTCACCTTTCACCTTCACCTTCACCTTCACCTTCACCTTCACCTTCACCTTCACCCTCACCCTCACTCACCCTTTCAACTTTCAACTTTCACCGAGTGACGACACCGTCTGATACCGGGACTACCTATACTTCCCTGTCCTACCTGCGGACGGCATTGCATGGCATTGGATTGGACTGGATTCACCCACGGCCCGCGTCCATGATGGATGGGCTCTTGTGCTTTGTCGCATTGGTGGCCGGTCTGTCTGCATGCAGTCAAGCCAATCGGTCTGATCCCTCGCACGGCCTTACTATACCACTTGATTGTATAACCAGCCATTACGACTAATAACAGGCTCAGAAGTGACGCTACACTACACTACACTACAGTACATCTGCATGAGCAAGGGTGCCGGCAAGGAACGAACGGTACCTGGATCTTTTCGTCGTTGCCCCAGCCACCGGACGATAGAGTATACATAATGCTCGACGGAAGAAGGAGTATCTCCAGATGGAATAATCAGAGGTTGGGAGAGCTGAGAGGGGCATAAAGTTATATGTATGAACATATACTACTGTACGCGTGCTATGTATGAAAACCACTATATTTATATACATCGATACACACATCTATAAATATACGGAGTATATTCATCCTCCTCCCCGCCATCATGTCCTCTCTGATACACGCATCCGCCCGGCCAACTCATTTCCCGGCCAACTGTTGCTATCCAACCGAAGCGGGCAGCTCTTGATACTGGAGTCCGGAGTCTGTCAGATGTCTTCATCATCGACTCTCCTCTAGGTTTTCCGCTCCTCTAGGTTCTCCACTCGGCTCTCCACCTCTCTAAGTTTTTCTCATCGCCAACTCAAATCCATGACCGCTCTTGACCTGGCATCGATCATGTCTTATCAACTATACGTACTACCTACGTACTTGTTGTACAATATCATCCGATCATGATCCGGCCACGACCCTCTCTGGTGCGTGCGTACGGACGTGCGCTGACGTCCCCCGCAGCTCGCTTCCAGGTTGAAAAAAAAAAAGCCTTCTTTCTCCAGGGTCTTCCAGCCCCGTCGCAGGGACTCCCTGTTGATTCCTATCTTATCTACCTATAATTGAACTTCTAGCTGAAGCTTCTTCAAGATCCTTTCCTTTACTCTAATCTCTTCTCGGAGTCGGCCTCAGGCTTCTCTTTGCTTAAGGAGCTTAATTTAACACGCTCCAAAGCTAGCATTTGACCTACTCGAGACCAGCCACGGCAAAGATGCGGGCGGCGACGGACGGGTCCGGGTCCGGGCCCGGGATGCACTGCCAGTAACCGAGTGAGGCAATACTGTACGGTATGTCAAGCCCTGTTGAGCTGAACGGAACGGAGCGACATCTCGTTCCTTTGCCAGCTGCAGCAGCGGAACGGAGACTGAACCCGAATTTTCCCCTACAAGAGTCAGGCAAGGCCCAAAAAACTTAATTACACGGAGCCAACGGGCGCCTCCACAGACCAAAGTCAAAACAACAGCTGGAAAGGCGCAGATACAGGACTACTACAGTAATTCGGTACCGCCCGAGTCCCTAGCCGCCCGAGATGAGATCTGCACCCGCGAGGTAGCAGATAGATCAAATCCAATTTCATGCAGTGCCCCATCGTTGCTACGGTGATGGTGGCTGGAGAGCTCCTCCCGCGCCCGCCACATCACCCATCCGCCACGCCGCCACGCCGCCACGGTCATCCAGCAGGCTTGATTGAACCTCGAAAGTGTCACGGTCAACAACCAACAAGCAAGGCCCAGACGAAGGCAGAGAAAACCATGCCGCCCGGCACCGGCAGGCCATGATTTCTGCGCTACATGTTCCCAGGCCGAGAGAGTTTCTTCTATATTAGGAGATGCATGCGTTAACACGTTACTTTCCTGTTTCCTTGGTTGTGAGGTGTGCACCTCACGTGGAGTCTTCGTGACCATACAGCAGCAGCAGCAGACTTGGAAGCGGGAACAGGAGCCTGGATATGACGACTGTGAGGTGAGAGAGAAAAGTCTGCGAACCTTCATTTCTGGAGATCGAATCCTTCGCTTCTTGTTTTTCTTCATGCGTCTGATGCATGCATTCTTCATCATCTCCTCTCCACCAACCCAAGACCCAAGACCCAAGATCTCAGCGATCGCCACTCCGATCCCAGCCCATCCATGCCACTTTGTCAAACTCTCTCTCCCGACATTGCCATCTTCTCCAGCTTTTTCTCATCTCTGAATGGACTCGGACTCCGTTTTCCCAGGAGTCTGGACCAAGGAAAAAGAGGGTCAGTTTGACAGGGAAAAGCAACCAACAGCAGAGCTGAGATCTTACAATAGATGGAGAAATTACCGCCAAGATGACTCCACTTCTCTTCCCGTGGTTCACACTCTCTGGGAAAACCGAGTCTCCCGAGCAAGAAGTCAGTAGGTAGGCCAATGTCAGTTCCGATCTCTGCATCAGCCTACTTTTGCATGAACATCTGCCGAGCCCTCTACTCCCCTCTTCTCTTCTGTCATTTTTCGTATTTCTTAATACCTCTCGCTGCCCATTTTCACCCGCGAGCAGGATGTACCCTCACTCCACTTCTCAAAGATATCCGAGAAGAAAACATGAATCGGGTCCAGATGCTCCAGATCCTTTGTATCCGGCGTCGTAAGGTTTGACCCGCGGCTACCGTGAATAGCGGCTTGTGTACGGAGACGAGTGAAGGAACGATCGAGCGCGGCAGCGATATCCTCACCTTCAACATGCTGCTGGCGCAGGACCCGTAAATACCGCGGGATCAACCGAGGTGCGGAAAGCCTACGGGCAAGTTATTCAGCAGAGACTCGGTCCATCAACGCGAGATGGGGATCCTGGCTTCTCGAAGCGATGTTAGCGAGTAATCCATTGACGGCTCTGTTATAGCGCATACACCTCTCCAGGCCCAATGGGTCAAACGCAAACCCAGACGTTCTCGAGCCTCATACACAGCGCCCAAGGCCGCCAGATACTGCAAGACGGCGGAATACCGATGGCTCATCTGCAGCACAACCATATCCCAGAACTTCGGCTCAAAAGTTCCCCAGCATAGCGGGCACATCTTTGGCGCAGAAATAGTGGAAGCTCCTCCGCTCTTGCCAGCTGCCCTGGACATCCACAGACCCCGCGTTGAGGGCTGGCGACACAGATCTCGTCCTTAGCCGAAGCGCCCGGATCCTTTCCCGTGCCTCGGTGGTGGTGGGAGTGCTTTCGTCTTGTGGCGTCTGGGCGCCGGAACTTGAGTCGTAGCCTTCGCACGCTCGCCAGCTGGATAAATAGCGCTTGCAGTGAAGTGCGGCCTGCTCTCGTCACTCGGCGGTTCTTGCACACCACGCACCCGGCTTGAGACTTGGACGCGCCGGTCCAGAACCGGGTATCAGATCTCGGGATACTCATATGTAGAGATTCGTCCATCTCTTGCTAGTTAGCTGCGGGCCGTCCCTTTACCCGACACATGGATAGGTAGGTAGGTAGGTAGCGAGGTATTCCTTGACCTGTACCGTGGAGAGCGGGGGTCCCGTCTCGTCTGTGTGTTTTTCGAATGCTTCCAGTTTTCTATTCCGCTTTTGTTTGCTTATTCGTATCCTTTTTTATTTTTTCCCTTTCTTTTCTTTGAAGGATACGCTCGTGATTCTTACGGAGGAGGGTGGATGGATAGTGGAGCTCTTGTGCGTATTTGAAAGCAAGCATAGCTTACCATCTCGAAGAAGAGGATACACCGTCCCCGGCATACATTTCCATCACCGTCCCACAGCCACTTCTCATGCTGTATCATGTACGCCGCGAGCTCGCCGGCATCTATCTGCAGCTGAACCGTACCACGGCCACATATCCTTTCCCAAGTCCTACTTGTGACTCTTGCAGTACAACCAGTCTACCAAATCTTTCCGGGGGCTCATGCCGGCGTTGGTATGGATGCCAGAAGGGATAATCCATCATCTCTAGTGGTCAGGTTGTATTCAGGAGAAGAAGAGGGATAGAAATTAGACGTATCAAAAGTGATATATAGCGTTTGTAATTACTCTCTCTTAGTCTTTCACGATACTTTGCACATCCTCTTGCTTCTATCGGTAGTGGGCGCTGGTTGGATAGCAAGCAAGCATCATTTTTCCTCGCTTCGTATTTGTTTACCAACTTATGTTCACGTAAACATATCTCCGAGATCTTAATCTCGGTATCACATGAAAACAAAAAATAAAACCATGCATGGAAGAGAGCGCGTAGCTTCGAGTGGGTAGCAGCCAGCCGCGATACGAAGTAGATAGATACTAGAATCAGTAGCCCAAGTAAGTAAGCAGTAAGTATATATATATATAGCCCCTTCCCCCATCCCTCTTCTCTCCCCTCCCCCTCCCTCTCTCATCTTTCCTCCCTCTTTTCCTTTCCGTTCCGTTCTTCTACGATGGAAGCAAAGCCATCAAGTCAAGTTAAAAAAAAAAAAAACTTCAAGCCCTAACAAGTTTAACCAAACCACCTTTCTCGTCTTCTCTTATTACTTCTTATCTTGAGTCTGATCTGAAAATAAAAATTGAGAGAGAGAGAGAGAAGAATTGAGCTTTCGAAATCCCATCTTAACTGACTGCGCGACTCACCCATCTTAAGTCACCCACTCCATTCAGTTCCACTCCCCACAGCGGCAGTCGAACTCCACCATCAGCAGTAGCAGCCGCAGCCACCACACTCATCCCGTACATCGTACTTCGTACACAGATCCCAATCCCAATCTCGCTTATCAGAACAGACAAGAACAGACAAACTACCCGCCTACTCAGCGAGTAAATAAGTGAGATGTTCCCAAACCCTCTTCTCCTCTTAGCCTTCTCTCCTCCCGACGCCCTTATCCTCTTCCGCCTTTGAAGTTGCCTTGCCTTGCGTTGCCAGAACAAAAGAGAACAAAAGAAAACAAAACAAAACAAAACCAAGGAACGGCTTGGGAAGACGGAAGAGGAAATTTCCATACATATTGCGTAGGTATATATATATATATATATACACAAAGGCGAGTACTCTCTGAATGGATCGAGAGGAGAGCCGCGAAGATTTCCTATACGGAGGGTGCAGTGCAGGAGAAGAAGGCTGCAGAAGAAAGATGGAAGGGTGGATGGAGACTTGCTCATGGGCTGCGTGCTAGCGTGACAGGCTACGAAAGGATATCTTTTTGATACTGTCGTAACAGTAGTAAGTAGCACGTAGTAACAAAATACGTAGTACTAGAAAAATCATTATATACGTCATTTTGCAACATTTGGTAAGCGGTCAGCTTTACGGTCAGAAGATGCTTTCACCAAGTGGGTCCCGTCCTTTATCCAGGGAGGGGGGATAGGTAGTACCGGTACTGTAGTAAGGAAAAAAAAGAGTTTAATTTCGGCTTCTCTTCTGGATAGGTGACTGACTGACTTTAATTTTTCAAGTCACGGAAAAGTCAATCAATCTCGATTTCAAGTCATGGCAAAAAGTTAGAATGAACAAACCCACCTTTCTTACAAGGTTGCTTAGCTAAGCTTGAGCGAGGCGGCGAAAGAAATGCACCGGTGATACTTAGAAGTACGTAGAAGAGGGGGAGAGTGCACGGGTTCCCTCTCGCATTACCTACTACAGTAGATGCTAAGCAAGCGTTCATTCGTTTCTACTTAATCCGGGCCAGAAAAGGCCTGAGCGGATCTCTGACAAATCCAGTCCTGGTCCCCGTCTGGATACGAAGCATCAAGTGCAACACGCTGCGTTAGAGAGAGCCCTGCAGCAGCTGAGGCGTGGCGGACACTCGCGCCTGCGGCGGGAGCAAAGGGACAGGGACAGGGACAGACAGATCGATAGATTTCTTTTCTCTCAGATCAATGGCCGGCGAGATGATCTTTTTGAAAAAATGATGGGCTTTTCGCATCAAATCTTCCACCGTGCCCTCGGATCGAGCAAGGTGCCGAAGGAAGCAAGCAGGCCCATTGGCATTGGCATGTCCTGCGAGGATGGCTTCCGACAATCGTGGAAACGTTCGCTGCCAGAGAGGAGCGCGAACGGAGCTCGTCGGACAGGGAAGGAGTTGTTGATGGGATGTACACACAGCGCGCGAACGTGTATAAGAACGGGTCTTTACTCGAGCCATCTCCGCATTCAAATTTTTCATACAGTGTGTTCTGGTAATTCCATTCCTCTGCATTCTTAAAATTACTTCTGCTTCTGCCTCTCCAGTCAGTCGTCTTTCAGTCTCGATCTATTTCTTCAAGTTTATCAAATCACCTCGGTAAATCTTCAATCATGCGTTCCCATTCCGCCGTTTCCTTTGCGCTGGTCGCACTCGTGTCCACCCTGCACGCGGCTCCTATTCAACTCACCGAAGATGTCAGCGCCGCTATCGGTATGGCTGGCCGAGACCTCCAAAGACTGTCTGGCCGTACCGACATCGCAGACATCGTGAGACAGAACATCGAGCGCGACCTGCAGTCTGAGGCCGCCTCGCTCCAAGCTCAGTACGATGCTATCAACGCCGGGAACGTTGC